CCGCCGAACCTGTTAGCCAGACAAATGTAGGCACTTCTGCGTCTTCAAATAGAAATGACCCAATGGCGCGAGATAGATATCGTCTTATGTCCTCCACCAACGTCTTTTGCATCTCTCCAGAGCTTTCAAGCTCGCATAGCAGCCCATCAAGGAGCAGCATGAATGTATCCTGCCAGCTATAGCACAGTTCCTCATCTGGCTGGGTTCCTGGGATACCGAACCAATCGTTTTGGAGTGAGTGCATGGAATGAAGGAAGGTTCCTAACTTAAGGTCCAGAAGAGTGTCTTGGAGCGGAGTGAGAGCTCCGCTCGATCGTAGCGATGAGAGGGACTGGGCGTTTGGTGAGGGCAGGCGGAGGAGGAGATAATGGAATGGATAACGTGCGAGGGAATCATCGAAGCTTCTAGGTTCTGGTACAGGCATTTTGGTATTATTGGAGATTTCTGAAAGGAGATCGCGGATTGTGCCAAGGGAGAGTGGCTGCATCACCGACTCGGAGACCGGTGCAGAGCCGGGTGTCTTGGGAGCAGTAGCAAGAAGGTATGATGCATTGCGGAGCACGATATCGATCTTGTAAAACCTGATACACGAAGTGTAACTGGAGCATTGCATGTAGCGATAATCCTTTCAAACGTGTGATTGATACATCATACCTAAATCTCTTATTGCAGATCTCGTGAAACTGCTCGATCACGGCATCGTCGCCTTCGGTTTGGGTAACGATGTCCTGCGCTTGTTGTTGTGTGACATCCATGCGGCTTTGAAGATAGGACCCAAACTAAAGTTCGATTCAGGACTCGCAAAACTGATTTGGCTGCAGACTCCCAGCCCTCGAGCCATGTCAAATATTGTCTAAGTCTGGGATCAGGTGCCCCCAGCAACTTCAAGCGGAGTCTGTTAACGTACAGTACATGAATTTCGCCAATAATCCATTCACGTGCGTCGCAAGCGTACTTTGCGGGTTTGATATATTTAAATTCATTCGACTCCACATTCTCTACTATTCTCTACTGTCCGGCAAGCGCGCCAGAACTACGGAAACTCACGGAATTGGCTGTCGACGAACATTATGGCGATGATCCAGCTATGATTCCTTGATGATTCAAATCCTAAATCCAACCGCCGTTATAACTAGTTGCCTTTACAAAAAAAATGAGGTCCGTAACAAGCTCCAACCACGATCATATGATATGACTAGCACCTTACACGATACGCGCAATGTTCAAATTCCCTTCTTTCATACGCCGGCATGCATCAAGTAGCCCCGCCCTCCGCAAGAACTGGAACTTATTGATAGATAAGCTTGTATCGACTTGGTACGATCCAGTGACTACCAAGTTGGACAAGATTTCATGTTGTCATGATTGAAAAAATGAAACTCTATAATTTGCGCTAATGAACGACTAGGAAGGGAGGACTTACCAATGCTCGTATTAACTGTCATTGTCAGTGCGCACATAGCGAGGCAGATGATCATGTTGAAAGTGGGCGGTCGAGACCTCTTTACTTTCGTTGCAAATGGTACACTAGCCACGCAGACAGCAATTCCAATGGCGGCGATGTACGTCCCAAAATAAGGTCTCTTGACGCTGTGGAGGCACTTAGACTCGTTCTGTATCGCTTGTCTGAACTCTATCGTGACTACGCGTGCAGTCTCCGCTCGCTTCGTCATCGTATTTTTCTGACTCAACATCAGCGAATTGAGAGGTCCTTGATATTAGACCCGTAGGACTTCTCCTCAACTTGACGGCTAGCTGTCAAAGCTGAGGTACCTAGTACCGGTGAGCTTTATTTCGCATCAAACCTCATCACATCGACATACAATATCTGCAAGCGTGGCGATGCCGTGGTAAGCCCTGTTTTGCGCATTAAATCTCACCGTGTTGATGATGTGCGCAGGGCAATTATGAGAAACCAGCCACTTACCCAGAGCCAGTTATGCGCGTAAGCCTTTGGTTTCGCACCAAATCTCATCGTGTCAGCCTTATCATAGAATGTACGCAGGAAGAGTCTTCAGAACGGTGACCTGAGTAGAACCACTCATAATACAACAGAATTCGTACAAGGACACTATAACTACTCGCCAAAATATTCCTCCACCAGTGCTTGTTTCCTGAGGGCTAATAGCACGCCCTCCATTTCCTCTCTAGTCGGAAGTGTCGGTGGCATCAGGTCTTCTGGCGACAAAAAGCCCAGGTAAGCAGCGGCTGTAGTCGCGTGCGCGCGTATTGAGTCTGCGCCTCCATATGAGGAGACACCTGCCTTCGCTGTGTTGTCTGATTCGGCTTTGCGAAGCCGTTTTTCTGCCTCCGAATTTGCCGTGTCCATCTCGACATCTTCCTCCTGAGCTTTGCGTTTAGTATTTGATAGATGTTGAGGTGGGGAGAGCCCATTTTGTGGGAGTGGTGATGAGCTTGCCAATGATCCACGAGGGATTTCAGGTATTGGGTCATCAAGAGGGAGGTCGAGGATTTCCCGGACGTTCGTATATTCGTCTCTCCATTCTGATGCACGTAAGAGAATGAAACTGTCTACACTCATGGACATGACGTACCTGTTTCTTCTGCTTGACGCTCATATTCCAATAACTTTCCATCTGCTTCATCCAGGTCTCCAAAGTATGCGGGGCCTTGATTCGTGAACTTCTTGTAAAATGAAAGCGCTTCACTTTCCTCCTCTTCCTCTTTCTTTTTGCTCTGAAAGAGTTCGCGCACGCCTGGGAGATCTTTCGCGCGGCCAAAGTACCTAACATTTTTATCAGTGACAACTTCATAGGGCAAGCTAAAACTCAAAAGGACGTACTTGTATCCTTTTGTCCCAGGCACTTCCTTCCCATCGTCATCCAACATGGCTACATTACGGCGATAGTTAGCACCTCCCAGTGCAATGATCTGGTTTTCCCAATGGCGCTTCTCGCGCATCAATTTGTTGATTTCGTCATTCACGTCTCGGACTTCATAGTCGGTCAAACCAGCTGTTAACAAATATTCATGTCAGCTCATTCGAATTTTGAATCTCCTGCGGAGTGACGCGCCATCCTGAATCTTGGACACTTTTCGGCTTAGCTCTCTTAAAATTTCACCTCTCCACCGCTCGCACTCCCTTAGACTCTTGCAGGCGCTCGCCATCTTCGGACGACGATCTGCACGCGTCCCGAGGCCAAGCTCAGCTGCTTGAGCCTCGCGGAAACGGTATAACATTGACTGTGCCTTCTCTTCATTGCGGGCCTAGTTATAAAAACGACGATGAGTGGAACATATAGAATAGTCACATCTTCAAGTACATACCATGATTAGATCAGAAAGTACGGTCTATGCAGACAAGTCACAGAGTCCGTGTCAAGGTCTGGGGATAGTGGTTGTCCGGAAAATGCCGGTAAGTCTGTTAAAGGAAACTTTCTGGAAGTCCTGACCTGGACTAAGGACTTCGACTAGCAGTTCATACCACGATGTGTGTGGGCTTGAATATAATTGGTAAGTAGCTCTAAGTCTTTCAGAATTAATTGAACGAGGTTCAGCTGATTATGATTGCTAGGTGGGACACTAGTAGTGACATGGTGATATTCCATTTTGTCACTGTGTGGCGTCTTAGAAATTGCCCTACAGTTGAAGTCACCAGTGCTTGTACTATTCTCGGACCCTCGCGTTCTTGAACGGAGTTGCATTCCATAAGTGTCATGCTCAAATATTCCACGCAGTACTCCCCCGGACATAAAACTTATGGCGATGATGGGAAACCATTTGGTGACTCAGAAAGGTTTGGTACAGAGTCCAGACGCTACAAAATTTCGTTCAAAGTCGTCGTGCATCCTCTGCCTATGGACTTGGTTGAGCGATGGTGCACTTGTTTGCGTGTCGATGCTCTTTTTCATGCCATGCCATGGATACTACGCACGCGTTCGGCTCCCTTGCACGACGACATTCCTGTATACTGCAGGTGAACAGACCTTCATTTCAACAGCTAATGAATGGTTTTAATGATCTATCACAATTCTAAGCAAGTGGTGCTATGGAGTCCATGATTGTGAGGTTCAATGGCGCTCGACCGCTGTTCTGTCTACCGCCGCGCGCGGCCCTCCTTCCCCAGAAATTCAGAATTGCGTTCCGTTTTGTCCGATCACGCACTACTCGGTCATTGTTTGAAACCCTATACTATCAAGACCAACTCGAACGACCGTGAGTAGATGCTCATAACATGCATAACATATTTGCATTCGAAAATCAGGTATCCGGACCAAATTGGTGGAGGTTTCGTGGTCTCTTTGGGATCCGCTTACCAAATACATTATCTGGCAAGTCATACACTCCGTTCGTTCTTGGCTCACACATGTGTAGAACTTGCTTCGGAAAACCTTTTAGTTGTTGGAGCATTGTAAGCCCACATATCTTTCATTCTAGGGCACCCCGAAGTAGTCCGTGTGCATCTTGGTAAATAGTCTTTCTGACTTGAGGACCAGGTGGTACCTTGTACTTGTGATATGCTACTGTCACGCAGCGCTTCATATCACTGCATCGGAATGATCAGGCTGTAATGCTGACGTGACGATGATAACATGGGACTGGGTACAATGGAGTACGAGACAAATTTGCATTGCGTTAACAAGCACGTTGTTCCATTAAACAAATTAGAGGCTACTTGCTTAAAACTATTGCCGACGGATGTCTTCCCAAATATTTTGCAAAATTTGGGAGCTTGTTAGAATTGTCATGTCGTTGGTGCGTTAGTCATCTAGATTCGGCACTTCAAGCTAAAGTCGAAAATCGAAAATCGATGTCCCAAAGCAATGAGGTTCATACCATTCACCGTTGATTGATGACCGCACAACTATGCATTTTCTAGCCGCACCTCCGTTGATACGTGGTCACTATTTCCGGTTGACATCATTCAGTATGGAATAATTTTCACGCAGAGTTTGACGCTTATATCTGTGAGCGCTATCTTACTACGAGAAGTGTGCCCGGCGCCCAAACGAGGGGTAGACAGCTTGTGAAAACAAAACAGCGGCAAGATGAGTAGTCAAGATGGATTACAAATTGCTTGATAATGCCTACACTGCGGCCCGCCATGAACATAGTAGGTACCCTGGGATAGAAATCAAATTGAATATCAAACACTTCTGTGACTACATCCACCATCATAGGGAGAGAATGTTTCATATGGAGAGAATACAACAAGAATGCGATCAAGGGAGCGAGGGCAGGTCCACGTTACCCTCCAAGCGGACCAACTTGCCTTTAGGGATCCAAACACGATGCTCGTCGACCCAATCTAAGATCTTCTCAAAGTTTCTACATTTGTGAGGAACATTGAAATCAGCGAATGGAGTTGTCCTTCCCTCGATCCAATCATGAGTTATCATGGTAACATCACCACTACACATAGTGAACTGCCTGAGCATCTCAATGCAGTGGTCTATGGTGCGACATGAGCAGGTTGTAGGCAGAGCAAGAAACAATATACTCACCGAGATGGGTACGAGAGGTGTCGTGTTTATGTATGCCCCCATGCTGAAAGGACTCGTTACCCCAGCTGGCTTTGCGTAGCATGTCCTACAGGAATTTGAGCAAAGATCGACCAGCCTCTGTGTTTTACAACTGACTAAGCAATGGAGCTGATGAATGACTTCTACAGTTGCTACGTAACCTCCACCGTATTCGTCCGGATACCTAGCCATGGAGGGAGAAGGTTTCTCCCCCATTCTGAGCAGTTGCTCATGTGTCATACGGAGTGGGCGCACTGGGAAATATCATAGTCAGTAGATGTCTATGATGTAAGTGAAGCATAGGACACAACCATCAAGAGATATCCTATCCCAAGTGGCGTCGAGCTCTGGGGATGGAGTGCCACGATATATGGAAGGAGCATTGAAACTTCCGTTGAATTTTATGATGCCGATGGATTCAATTGCCTCGTTTGCTGGAGCTGTGATGGGTAAGTAAGGTCTTGTGCGCCGACTCTAGTCATCCACGTACAATATAGAACTACGTCATCTATCGAAGGTGACCGTGCCCATTGTATGAAGAACCACAGAGTTATGGACATCAGTACACCATGGCTTAGCCAGGGCCACAGGCGAAGGAAGCGTGATTTTGGTGGAAGACTAATTGTTATACCACTATCAAGGAGCTTGGTATTGTCATCGTCGATTCCATCTAAATGAGAGTACTGAGAGTAGTATTCCTTATTCATGAGTCGCGAAATAAAATCTGAATCTGTAGTGGATGGGTCAAGTGTGAACCAGACAGCTTGGACGATTAAGTGCCTGCGAAGAAATGCTTACTTCTATTTATCCCAGAAGCTGTGACAGTGCTCGGCGAATCTCGTGAGGTTTGAGTGGGCGCCAAGGATCTGGTACAATCTTTCTGGATCATTGCACTAAGAGAGCAAATGGAGTACGTCATCTAATCTCCCAGACCCTTTCTCAGCTCTCAGGTCTCGAAGCCACGTTTCATGACATGGCGACCCATTACCCCCTTTCCTCTTATTGCGCTTCAGACTACCCCAGCCTTGAAATTTTCGTAGTTAGGTCGTGGGAGCAGCACTTTTGAGATTCCTAAGACAGCATGATCTCCTGTGGTCTTGCTGGCATATCTATTTGTCTTGCGGGTACACAAATTGGTTACAAATGGACCCTGCAGCTTTCCGCCTGTAGGTCAAATAAATCGATATGTCATGATCCGGAGAATAGCAATTCTAATTACCTTCAAAATTTCGGGGCTTGGATATTACGTCGACACTCAGCAGCGTTGCAAAGACCCATCAGCTTGCCGCATCTGTGATACTGAGGAAGTGGTTACCAATGCGTTATGCGTCGGACAGATGCTATATGGTACGGTCCGATCCATTCAAGTTGTCGGTCACTATCAAGGTGTTGAAAACTAAGACTTGAGCATTTATCTGTGCGATGATCCGGGAGCGGTGGGTAGGTGCAAAAGACTGAGACTAGTGCATAGTATTTGAGACGAGAGATTTCAAGGCTGCGAGTGTCTACGAAGTGGGAAGAGGTTGCAATATATTGAAGCTCGTGGTCGCCTAATGCACGCGTGGACTCACTTAGCTTAGTTAGTTCTAAGCTAGCTAGAAAACCAACTAGTACTAGTCTAATTTCAGTGTTACATAATCTTTATGTAATGATAACGATGAGCCATGTTGTTTCAAATAGCTGCCACGTCACTAGAGTACTTAGGCAGGCTAACTTCGAAAGGACCTGTTTGCACCACTTTTATTTGTATGCATGCCGGTTGGCACAAACTGTATCATGACTAGACTCGTGACCAGTCTGTCTAATGAGGCAAGCCGTCGATTAGACACATCATGACGTTGTCATGATACAGACACGTCAACGTTATCTGGTACTCTTTCTGCTGGCGCAGATGCTGGAGAGATATAACTGGTTGGTGATACAGATCCGTGATCAATCGATTCATGCATCATGATTAATAATCGACATCCCCACAATGCACGCCATTATAGGTGTAGCATTCCACACAATTTAATGGCTCTTGCACCCAGATCGCGACTCTGCCCCTGCTGAGCCTGCTCCCTCGTATTCACTAACAAACGGAATCACTTTACTCAAAGGCCATGATCAAATATTTTTCGCAGTATTCTCCTATTGATTTTGTCGACGACGAGAACCTATCTGGTGGTGCAGAAAGGTTCGGTACGAAATCTCGTCCCAAGTCACGTACTCGTCGCCTGTGGTTGTCCCATGGCGTACTTATTTGCACATCGATTCTCTCTTTTGCGCTATGGATGCGTACACCTTCGACTGAGCTGCTCAACGACATTCCCAGTATATACTGTAAGCGGACAGATCACATCGAACAGTATAGTTATTGATCTATCACAGCTCCAGCAAGTGTTGCTGTTGAGCCCGTCACTCTAAGGGTAAACGGATCCTTCGAGTTTCCTTCTATCTATCGTGGCCCCCCTTCCCCAGAAATTGACGCCACTTGGAATAGGATAACTCGTGATGGTACGTTGTTGGTCCTGTTATGCTAATTATCAATTGTCCACCTCCATGAAACTCAGTGGGACCAACTCGAATGACCCGTGAGGAGATGCTCAAAGCAGGCACAACTTTGACAGAATTGCGCTCGAAAGTCAGATATCCGGACAAAGTTGGTGGGGGGTACATGGCCTCTATGGAAGTCATCCACCAATTGCATTGTGTGGTGAGCTATACTACACCGACAATTTATTCATTCTTGGCTCACTTGTATAGAACTTGATCCGCGAAGCCTCCTGGTTTGAGCATTACTCGGCGTCTACAGATCGTTCATTCCAATTCCCTCCGGACGTAATCCGTCTGCATATTGGTGAATATTATTTCTGCCTTAAGGCAATATTGCTTACAGTATATCGTTACGGTCCAGATCACTGCATCGAAATGTTAAGGCAGAATATTATGTGCAATGCCGACACGACGATGATGACATGGCACTGGGTGCAGGGACGTGAATACCCTCATGCTAACTTCAACACCCGTCATCAATGCAGGAAATTCGAGAAAATTATGGATTGGTCTACCGAACACGCTATTCACATCGATGAATCCGAGGTTATTCGCTTCGAAGATACGATTGACCTCCCCAAACCACATCGTGATGCATGAAGAGGATCACACTGCTTGCCTGCTTGCTCACCCCTCTTGTTCAGGAATACCATGGGAGGATGGCGGTTATTGGTACTTTGGAAGAACTGTCGCATTGAGAGTTTATGAAACGAGCAGGATATAGATTTATGTGATCCAGAACGTCAGAAAAGCTTGGATATCTAGGCCAAAGGACAAGAATGATGCAGCAGAAACGCTTCCTAGACACTTGCTCCCGGATCATTCTGTTTCCCAAAGCTACTAAACACACTAGTCGTCGCTGATCAATAATTGATGTGCGCCATTGCCTGCTACCCTGGTGCTCTCAACAAATTCTCACCCAATGGTGGTTCTCGAGTAGATCACGATGTGATGGATGGAATACGGCCTTAATCATTTTGCAAAGCCGGATGGGAACCTACTTGCGTAAATATTACACGGCTCGCAAAGGAAATATACACATGCAGGAGCATGCAGGGCACCTGCATTCGCGGCGAGCTGAACAACACGCCGTGTTCAAGTCGCACTTCGATGTAGTCTCCCCTGCGAATGGCTGTCACTTCCCGACCTCGATGGGGTTTCAGCCTAAGAGGAGAAGGTCAGCTGCGGGGACGGGAGGGGCCGCCTCGCTGTCACGGTATCCTGCCTAATTTACCCCTTCCGAGTCAGGGCGCAAAAGATATGTTTGTATTCGTTATTTATGGATGACGGCGAGGCGCTGAATCGTGCCGCCGTGCGATGAAACAGGGATAATAGGAAGGTAGGGTGGACTTGGGGTGGACAGTCGTCGTAGCAGATGCAACCAGAGGTGCGAACCTCCGGCCTCGCCTTGCTTACGTAATAGAGTAATACTTGGCACCGATGAACGTTTGAACGATGTTAAATTGGCTGACGATGCTACTGATGCCTTAACTCGGGTACTACATATAGAAGTGCCTCGTCAGCTCATCGAAATATACTATAACTGAAATCACGAATTCTGACTGCAGATGTGGCAAATGTCTAGACAAATCAAACACACGCCCAGCATTTCCAACGTAATAATTACGTAAAGAAGTAACCTTGAAAATCGTTAATTATTACATAAACAGATTGTTTGACTGTTTGACTTGGCTTGAGGTTGCCAACAAACTTACACCTTAAGTATTTATTCTGTTGGCGGTCATGAATCCTCAGTACTCAGTATCCGAATCGCACCATGTGGCTCCTGGCATGGGGTGCATGGAAGAAACAATGACGACGGACAATGTGAGTGCGCAAGATGTTCTAGGTTTACTACGGGATTTCTTTCCTGTTCCTCAGGGGGTTCGTTTGACCCACCTGGGTTTGCCATAGAACGAGATTATCACATAACTTGTAAATGACTTGCTAATATCAAACACATAGCTGATGTGGTGCTCTGAGGAATCTCAAACATCATCATGATTCACTGACGTGCTGCTATCCTGCTCGGAGTCAGACCCGTGGCAAATACTTATGACATGTCCACCAGTGGCGCTTCGACAACACGGTATAGAGACTTCAGTACCTAACCTCCGGCCATCGCGATTCATCCTTCCATTGTAGATTGGCGAAACTAAACTGCACTTGATGACTGCAAGAGATGCTGGCAACTATGACGCCATGTTTGAATTTTCATTCATGCATGACCCAGCTATGACGTGGCGGTTACTCACAAACTACCAAATGTTACCTACTATTTGCGATGAAGTTTCTGTGGCGGACTCATTCGCCGCGTCAGTCACTGGGCAATCCATTTGGACATTCCGAGTATTTATGAGGGCAGACTTATCCCCTCGTGGTTTGTTCAGCATGATCATCATGCTGGTCGCCTCAGAACTTGTCATTACATGGACAACACGGCAGTGTTTTAGTGGTTAGAGTGATTGCTCGCCACGGCTGTTTTCTCTATTATGTTCATCGGTCACTGGGTCTTGGTCAGACTCCCATGCCATGTTGGATATTGCATCAGGAAAACCCTCCCATGTAAACTTAGATAAAGCTGTTCGGATTAGATCTTTTTTCGTGCAACTAATACATATTAGACATATTAGATGGGCTAGACATCCTAGCCAGACTTTATTGCTGATTTTTAATTAGCCATACCTTGCTGCTGTTTAGAACAATTAGCCATACCTTGCTGTCATTTAAAAACAATTTGACGTGTCCTAGTAGACACCTAGGAAAGCCTTTACGCGCCCTAGGAAACACTAATAGGAAGACTTTCACACTTCGAGTACATGAAAAAATTAATATCATTAAAATCGGGTATCAGGCTGATGCAGTAATGTACGACTCATATGAGCAAAACAAGCACGAGAAAACATAGCGAGTGGTGAGATATAGTGAGCAGTGGGGTATCAAAGATTAAATCCTATGTCCTGCAAAATATGGCACAGCGTCAGTGAGGTATTCTACTTGTCATCCATTCCCTCAAGGTCCAAGAATGCTAGATCGGTATCTTTGTCATAGACTCCAATTGTGTCACGACGTAAATGCCTGTAAGCAACAGTAAGTCAGCAACGTGTATACCAAATTGGATGTGGACTTACTGGACCTCCTCGTAAATATCGGCCATCATTTTGTGAAACTTGACAGGAGCTGTCCTTCGGATTCTCTCCAACAATGCCACGTGGTATGTATAGATATCACAGAATTGGTTACCAGTGAACTTGAAATCTTCACCTGCCTTGTTCTTCTTTGCAACGAGAACAGCATGGATCTAACAACAAAGAAGTGAGTCAATGAACAGATGAGTGCGAACACAAACTTACAGCTGTGCTGACCATGGCCAACATGGGGATAGGGATTTCTGGTCGACCAGTTTTGTTCTCCGCAATGTCAAGAAAGTGCTGAGCAAACTGCAAACCAACTGACTTCGTGTTTTTGAAGAATGTCTCGTATAGAGTGTCGACTATGGGCTGCCCTTGATATGGCTTCTGTCGTTTTGGAGAAGGAAGACCCTCAGCCTTGATGCGAGGTGTCAGTGGGATGTCAAATTCTTGTGCAAAAAAACTAACATCAAATGTCTGCGGAAAAATGTAGGAATGACCCACAAGGAGACGGTCAACGATAGCATTGCAGTCACGGCCGAGTCGAAAGTAGCCTGGGGCATATTTATAGGCGACGTCCTTGATTTCAGTGCGGAAGAGGCTCGCACGAGCATCAATCTATAGCAGGTGTCAATATTAAATCAAAGTAAGACAGATTACTTACTAGATTGGCGAGTGCCGACAAATACTCATCATCAACATACATCCGTTTCTCAATTGGCGCTGTCTTGTGGTGCTTCGCAGCCTGAAGTAAGATTTCCCGCGCATATGAGTTCTTGGCCAGAATTTCAGGGTACCCGTGCTTGAAGGCAATGTATGCCTTGACCTCGAGGATACCATGATGGATCACCTTGCGAAGCTCCGTGTTCTGGTCCGTAAGTCGCACTGACCCAGTCTTCGTGTAGACAAGATCAGCCATCGCGTCAGCATGTGGGGGCACATCGGGCTCAGGTTTGATTTCGAGGATGGAAAGGTCTTCCTCATCTTCCTTGACTTGTACTGCGGAGGAGGGCATATTGCTCTTGCTACTGTGTTTGAGAGGCTGCGGTCCAAAGGATGACCTCGTCATTGGAGAGTCCCACATGGGGATCTATTGAGCGAATTTTGGTTTCAGTAGACTCAGAATACAAAGGAACAAAATATATTCTTACTTCGGCAGTATATTTCTTTTCTTTCGCACTCCAAGGCCTGTATTGTGAGCCCCATACAGGTGGTGGAGGTGTTGGTGACCGGGACAGAGTATATCTGGTCTTCCGAGGTCTGCCAGACTTACTCTTTGCAGGCTTTTTCTGGCGGTCTGCCTGCGTATTGACAATTGCAGGAACCTTGAAAGTTCATGCAGATTACTTAAGCTTATTGAATGCAGTGTGAAGTGACTCACCTCTTCAAACAGAGCTTTTGCGATGCTCTCGACTGGCTCTGATCCTGAGTCTGACATTTCAATTTCGGAGCTGGAAGCTCTATCAGAGACACTCTGCTTGCTAGCAGTGTCCGAATCAATATCTGATGGTTCAACACTGACACGAGCTATAACTTTCAACCATTAGTAAGAGTGTCATGTGGCAACACGCAATGCTGACCCCTCCTCTTTAACCGCTGAGGTTGGCTAACCTCCACGTTGTCCTCAGAGTCTGATGCGAGAGGTGGCGGCCGCTCTAATCTTTCTGTGAGCAAGTTTGGCTTTTGTGTGGGCACTGATACTTACTGCAGCTTTTGCTTTTTCCAGTTCTGAGGGGAGGTTCTGGCGCCCTTGCTTTCGTTCCACCACCTGCATCCATCATGGCAGGTCATCACTACAGGTGAGCTACTACTAATCGCGACTTACTTTTGACTGACTTGACCCGTTTTGGAATAGGTGCAATATCATCAGTGGGTGAGCGTTCGTGCTTGCGTGCCCGTTTGTTTTGGCGGAGTGGTCCCCAAACTGCCACAAAGTATCATTGTGAGTATGAATTTGTATGGTGACAATGTGCTTACCTGGATTGTCTAGAGCCTGATCTTTTGCCTTGCGTCGTACTTGAACCAAGTGAGTTTTAACTTTGTTGTCATGAAAAATTTCTTACGCCGTGGATGCAAGTCCATTGAAGGGAAATTAAGGTCGGAAGGAGTAAAAAGTCTGAAAAACGAACGTGAGAATGCCTTTCTGCTGGAGAAAGACCACTTCAAAAAGGTGAGTGAGTGTTTTTATTTAAGTTGGGGTCAGGCATTTAATTTGAAACAGTCCGCTTATTATACTGAGCGCTGAGCCAGGGTTGACCCTTTCCTTGTCTGGCTTAGTTTGCTATTTGGTGAGTTTATGTTCAGAAACTTAAAACACAGCTTTACAAAGTAGTCCTAGTGCGCACACCATTCTCTTCTTAGTAACGGTCCTGTCAATCGGGAACTTTCTTATTGGTGGCACGCTAATCGGATGCAAGTCGTTTCCTCCGTTTACGGACTATCAAGAAGCATTTTCCTCTCCATTACCACCCTCTATGTTCCACTATGGCACTTGGCGAAAGCCATTTCCTTCGTTTATGGACTATCAAGAAGCATTTTCCTCCCCATTACCACCCTCTATGTTCCACTATGGCACTTGGTGAAAGCCATTTCCTCCGTTTACGGACTATCAAGAAGCATTTTCCTCTCCATTACCACCCTCTATGTTTAGCATCTTCAACTAGTGTTCTTCCCTAGTAACGGCCCCATCGGCTGGGAACTTTTGGCATTCCCCTGTTTACGAACTATCAAGAAGCATTCTCCTCTCCATTACTACCCTCTATGTTTGTCGTGTTCAGCTACTGTGCTTCGCAAAAGTCATTTATCTGATGTGCTTAACGAGTCTGATATCTGGTTCCGTCACTGCAAGACTTGAATTTACCAATCTCCGAGCATGTGGAATACCGTCATCACTTTACCCAATATTTCTTACTTCAGCAGAGCCTCACAGCCTCTTACATGCTGCTGACACCACTTTTTTGCTCTGACTGTCAGACTCGCACACTTTATTTGTCCTTACTGTTGACTGACAAGTTGTAAGTGATTTTCAGGCGTTCAGTGTTCATTTTTTATTGAATCTACGCAGAACATGCCCGAAATAACATGTCCTTCCTGCGATAAAAAGCTTGCATCAATCACCGGTTATAGTCAGCATCTTGCAAAAACCACCAATCCTGCCTGTCGTACCCTCTACCTTTCCTCACGGCGATTCGCTCCAGACCCAGCAAATGATGTAGATATAGACGCACCTGATCCAAATCATCCGCTGCATTTTGGAGGTGATTTTTTTGGAACATACGCTGAGGATGAGTTTGCATGGCCAGGGTCAGATGACGAGGGGGATGTTGGTCAAGCACCTATGGATGAAGATGACTCAGATATTGACATCAATGATCACGACGAATGGGAGCCTCCTGCAGCACCAGCACCCTCAAGTCATTCTGCGGAGCATCATGACACTAACAATCATGACAAATGGGAACCTCCTGTAGTGCCAGCACCTGCGCACAATGATGCCTTACACCCACCTACCGCAGATCAAGGCCAAGATGCTTTTCATATGGCGCAGCGGCGACTTCTTGAACACGAACAAGTACCTATAATTGTCCATTACCCTGATCAACGAGCTGGACAGCCCATCGACTCAGCCATCAAGCAGCCAAGCAATATAACCTACCATGCACAGCTTAATGGCTCGAGTGCAGATAATATTTATGCCCCATTCGCCTCGAAGCTTGATTGGGAGATGGCTCGATGGGCAAAATTATGAGGTTCAAGCTCAACTGCGTTCTCAGAACTTGTTTCTATTGAAGGTGTAAGTCCGTGCTTTACTCGAACACTAGGATCAATCTAATTGTAGCACTTCCAGCTTAGCGAAAAGATTGGTCTTTCCTTCAAGAATACATGGGAACTGAACAAGATCATCGACGATGAACTTCCAGGCCGTCCGAAATTCAAACATGATCAGATTGTCGTTGCTAATGAAGCGTTTGATGTCTACTATCGTGATATCATTGAATGCATCAAGGCTCTTTTCAGTGATCCAAGTTTTGCTGACTTTCTGGTCTTTGCACCTGAACGCCATTATGCCGACGAAGATGAGACGATTCGTTTATATCATGAGATGCATACTGGAAAATGGTGGTGGAATAGTCAGGTCGGTGTTTTCTACCTTTTGTGAGCTTCAATGTACTAATATTAATATTGTATTCTTCCTAGAAACACTTAGATCACGAGCGCCCTGGTGCTACAATAATTCCCATCATCATTTCATCAGACAAGACTCAAGTTACAATGTTTTGCAACAAGACAGCATACCCCGTCTACATGACTATTGGAAACATCCCAAAGGATATTCGTCAGAAACCGTCATGCCAGGCACATGTCCTCCTTGCATACCTTCCAACTACTCGCCTTGAACACATTACCAACAAAGCTGCTCGCCGACAGATGCTTGCCAATTTATATCATGCTTGTGTGGGACGTGTACTTGCACCACTCACAGCTGCCGGCATCAATGGCATTAATATGCGAAGTGGTGATGGAATAATGCGTCGAGGCCATCCTTTGTTTGCATGTTTTGCAGGAGACTACCCAGAGCAAGTTTTAGCTACCGGAGTCAAGACAACTCAATGTCCAAATTGCGATGTTCCCTCCGATGAGCTTGGTCTAGCAACTGGTGTCGCAAATTGGCAACCACGAGACCTTGGTGCAGTACTTGATGCCCTCTGCGCTCTTGACCAAGGTGGATTGGCCTTTGTGCATGCATGCGCAGATGCTGGCATTAAGCCTATTGTCCACCCATTCTGGGAGGGACTACCCTTTGTCAATATATTTGAATCCATAACTCCTGATATTCTGCATCAACTATACCAAGGGCTCGTCAAGCATCTCCTCGCTTGGCTTTCTGATTAGTGCTGCCACGGTCCGGTCCAGAACCACGGTTCGAACCGGACTTTTGGTCCGGTTCTCTGTGGTTCGGTCCATGGTTCCCTCACCAGCCAGAACCGGACCGGAAAGCGGTTCTGGGTTCTGGACCTTCACTAGTGGTCCGGTGAAGGTACAACAATTCAGATGGCGAGTCTGAACAATGTTGGGTCTTGCAGAACCTAGCTGCTATTCGACCCTAAAGGGTTTCTGGACCAGGCTCAAGGCTCAGAGAAGAGGAAATATCATGAAAACTTGCTGAGTACTCAGACTCATACTGGTAACTGGTGAAAAGATAACTTGATTATGTAAGCTACAAAAGTGCAAACATAACACTAAGGTAAAAACAGTCTCTGCAAGCCCAGCCAGAAATGAATCCCTACACCGGCCAGCACCTTTATACATGCCAGTACCTGCCCTCTACCCCCGGCCGGGGCTCTTATACTGAGCAGTATAAGAGCCCCGGCCGGGGGTAGAGGGCAGGTACTGGCATGTATAAAGGTGCTGGCCGGTCATGTAGTGCAAGTACTGGCCAGCACAGTATAAGAGTCCCGGCTGGGGGTATAGGGCAGGTACTGGCATGTATAAAGGTGCTGGCCGGTCATGTAGAGCAAGTACTGGCCAGTTCAGCCAGCCTCCTGCTTGTAGATGAGGTCTAAGGATCTTGAGTGGCCATGTCAACTATATACTGGCCACCTTATAATGTATATTACTTTGCCTAGTAATATCCACTAGATTTACGAATGAAAACAGCAACAATACAATGTGCTATGCTATGTCACTTACGCATGGCCTTTTTGGACGGCTGTCTGGCTCTGCTGGATCGATGAATAGTCAGTGGTAGGCTTTTTGGATGGTCTTCCAGATCCCCCAGACTTTCCTCTTTTCTTCCCTTTCTGCACTACCTCCTCCTCCTCCTCCTCCTCCTCCTCCTCCTCCTCCTCCTCCTCCTCCTCCTCAGCCTTCTCCGGCTCCTTACCCTCACTGTCCTTTTCATTTGCCACTTCCACCAGTTTCAACAGCTTCTGGTTCTCCTCCTCCAGCTTTCGCTTTCTCTCCTCCAGCTTTCTCATGTCCTCCTGCAGCATCACCATTTTCTTCTTCTGTTCCTCTGTCTCGCGAAGTTCCTCTTCAACCTTCCTTCTCATCTCATCTTCCTCCCTTTGTTTCTCGTCATCCACTTCCTCTTCCCTGGTCGAAATAGTCTGAGCGGCAGTATCGGTACCATGTTCTTCTCCACCAGCCTCAGTAATGGCAGCATGTTGTCCCTCCTTCGCCTTGACCATGCCGGTGACCCCACCTCTGGCTGTGTTTATTGCCTCTATAACGAGGTCGAGGGTCTTGATACCCAAAATAGAGGTGCCAAGGTAAGAGGGGGTGTTGGGGGTAGCGTTGTCCGCCTCATACTCGATGACTCGCTTACATTCTCTTAGCAGCATCCCGAGACCTAGGCCGATGTAGAGACTCATGCCTCTCATTGTGCAATATGGCAGTTTTCACTGGGGAGTACATGGCACGAACTTGTAGCATCACTCTGTGTGCTACCTGCAGCTATCTCTATATGAGGCGCAGCTTTCCCGCGCAACGCGCGCCATGCGCGCGTACCTTTCCCGCGCTTCACGATGTATATGCGCGCGCGCTTTCCCGCGCTTGAGCGCCCTATAGCGCCAGCCATCCGGAAGCATCCATCCACTGTCCACCAAGTTCCCTAGTGCGTATATTTCCATTTCTCACATTTGCTGATCATTCCATCTTTATTTTTATCATGGACCCTTACTTACATATATCTTTACATACCTTACTCGGTAGCGCTTCGGCTCCGCATGACAGCGCTTAGGCGCCATACTTAAGCGCCAGCAGTACATACACTGACTTACTCTCCCACCAGAACGACAGAGGACTTACTGGTTACTACCCACTATTTACCTAGCAGAACATAGTAGAAATCTATTTGTTTACACCCTCGCATCTCTCTTCTCTTGTCTTACATCATATCATCACTTAAGCAAACTCACTCTTACTCTCTCTCATATCTGTATACACACACACGCTTTCCCGCGCTTCACATTGGCCAACCAGTAGCGCTTTCAGCGCATACCTCTAGATCCTTGCTGCACTTGCTTCCCCTTTAGGGTCGAACGCACTTGTCGTCTCAAGTATAGCAGACTAGGCAACGCGCGACCTTACAACATTTATAGATACAGTCAGGAGCATTGTTTGTGCCTCGCTGTATCGTTGAACCTTCAACTGGAGCCCACCGCGAGGGTTTCTTGTGTTTCTAGGCTCTTCCAGCTCTCCAATCATCCCCCAAATTCGCCTATTATCCTACCACAGTCATTCCTTATCAGCTTCTCCCATATTCCCAAGTTTTCAGCATCTTGTCCTCCTCCCCAGCGCATTAATAAGCGTTTTTCTCACGCGTTTTTCGAGCGGATCTCTCGCAAACTTAGGGTCGTATTCCCCACGTCCGTCCGGTCATTTTGAGCCCTGGCTCATCGAATTTGGAGCAGTAGTTGTGGAGTTATTTAGTTTTTGGTGTTTTTGAGAAGTTGAGGGGAGATAAGGGTTTTCTGGGTGCTCAAAGGCCTGTCTCTTTTAGCTCTTTTGGCCATTTACCATCCTTCAGTGGCTCTGTCCATTGCCCCAATCTGCTTCTTGATAGGACCAGCCCTTGTTGCCCTGCACCATACCCCTTCCTCCTCCTCCCTCTTGCACCTCCGCACTTTTTCGCACTTTCACCAGCCCATTTCGCATCAGAACCCCCTCGACCCTATACCCGTTTTGAAGCCCTCATTCATGGCGTTCATTCGCGCCCATCGCCTCCCAGATCCGCTCCGTCGTTCGCCCACCATTCGCGTTTTCCGTCGCCCCCCACTTTATCGCACCTTTTCCACCATTTTATCTATATCTCCTCACCCTTTGATCGCGCACCTATCGACCCTATACTCATTCTGACCGCATTCGCCGCCGCTTTCCATCCGTCCGATCCGCTTCCCGATACGTTCGCGCGTTCCTCCGCAATCCGCCATTCTCATGTTTCCCTCCCCTTTCCACTATTCTTTTCATATCTTGCTCAGTTCTTGACCAATCCTAGTCGACCCTATACTCATTTCGAAGCCCTCGTTCGCCTCTTTCTATCCGTCTACTCCCCATCGTCACCCATGCAACCATCATCGCGTTTTTTATCACTTTATCGTCGCTGCTCCTCCAGTACTCAAAGCAAAGTCTGGAGATTATCGTTTTATTGCATTGCCTGACCCTCGCTCACTGGCGCAGTTTACCTGGCATACGCGTCAAGGAAACAAAAGGTGTTTGAGGACCCCCAGGTTAGTTTTCTTAGTTTAGCTTAGCTTTGGTTTGCATAGGTAGATGACTGGGGACAGTCATGATTCAAAGTTCCCATGAGATGTAGGGATTCATTTCTGGCTGGGCTTGCAGAGACTGTTTTTACCTTAGTGTTATGTTTGCACTTTTGTAGCTTACATAATCAAGTTATCTTTTCACCAGTTACCAGTATGAGTCTGAGTACTCAGCAAGTTTTCATGATATTTCCTCTTCTCTGAGCCTTGAGCCTGGTCCAGAAACCCTTTAGGGTCGAATAGCAGCTAGGTTCTGCAAGACCCAACATTGTTCAGACTCGCCATCTGAATTGTTGTACCTTCACCGGTCATGTAGTGCAAGTACTGGCCAGTTCAGCCAGCCTCCTGCTTGTAAAATGAGCACATGGCCTATACCCCCAGCCGGGGCTCTTATACAGCACAGTATAAGAGTCCCGGCTGGGGGCTGTGTCATGGCTGAGCTGCCCAGTACCTGCCCTGTGTGCTCGGCCAGGGCTCTTATATGATCATATATAAGAGTGCTGGCTGGAGGCTGTGTCCTGGCTAAGCTGGCCAGTACCTGCCCAATACCCCTGGCTGGGACTCTTATACAGGGATGTATAACAGTCCTGGCCGGGGGCTATGTCATGGCTGAGCTGGCCAGTACCTGCCCTGTGTGCTCAGCCGGGGCTCCTATACGACCATGTAGAAAAATGCTGGCCAGTACCTGCTCTATGTGCTCGGCCGAGGCTCTTATACGTCCATGTATACAAGTGCTGGCCGGAGGATGTGTCCTCACTGAGCTGGCCCCTGCCCTACCACAGTTGGCCAGTACTCCTATACATAGGTGTATGAGCAGGGCTGGCTGGAGGCTGGGTCCTGGTGAAGCTGGCCAGTGCCTGCCCTATGTGCTCGGCCGAGACTCCTATACGACTGTCCATAAGAGTGCTGGCCAGAGGCTGGGTCCTGCCCTACATGGCCAGCCAGCACCCTTATATGTGGTCGTATGAGCAGTGCTGGCCGAGCACTTGTATATGGAAACATCGGCCAGTCCTAGCTCTACACACTGCCTGAGTGGTCACACAGGCTACATACCTTGCGGGTTCAAGGTACACTGGCTGTGCCTACCTCTACACACCGGCCAGCCACATATCTACCTGGACAGGCCGGTACTGGCTGGGACACATTCTACAGCCTTTTGGCACATCCAGGGCACCACTTCTACGTCCAAAGTGACTGAAGGGTCTGCCAGCGCGGGCATCACATCAACTCTGTGCCGCAACGCACTCGCATCATCCACTTTCTCCACACTACAATTGATGAAGGCAGCCTATAAGAATTAGTGCTGCCGCGGTCCGGTCCAGAACCATGGTTCGAACCGGACTTTTGGTCCGGTTCTCCGCGGTTCGGTCCATGGTTCTCGCGCCAGCCAGAACCGGACCGGAAAACGGTTCTCGGTTCTAGATCTTCCCAAACGGTCCAGTTCTGGTTCGGCCTTCCCGAACCATTCTGAACCCTTATCCACTTCCACTTCAACAACTGTCGTCTTCGGGATTCACGTTGTTGATTAATCAAGCTACATTTAGCCTTTTCGAAGGTAAGCACTAACTAATTAAACTCTCAAGTCTCTCACCCGCTCACCTCTATAACAGGAGGTTCTATTCATTGAGGACTGGCTACAACACTGCGCAAGACTACCTTTTACTGGAGGTGGATGTGTTAGGCGCGGTCAAGGTGGATTTTGGAGGGATTGTGTCTTGCGCTATGCTGCAGAGGTGTGTATTTGTGCTCTGAATGCTGATGGCTCCCTCGAGGGCCAGCACCCATCGCTACCAGCGCACGACCCATCACACGCCACACCACCTGCGCCTATGTTGATGCCCGCCACCTCACCGCATCCCCTCTCACTCGCTTGCTGTTCTTTCTGGCTGGCTTTTGCTGGCTCACTCGCCGTGTCTCACTCACCCACTGTCTCTTGCTCACTGTCTCACACACCCGCTGGCTGCTCTCGCCCACTGTCTCTCACCCCGCTGTCTCTCACCCCGCTGTCTCTCACCCCGCTGTCTCTCACCCTCTGTCTCTCACAGCCTGCCTCGATGACCTACTTTCGGATCCAAAGGTGAATCGATATGCATGTCTCATTGCATATTCTCACAACTGAATGCGCTCTGCTAGGCCAACAAGTTGGCACTCCATGTACGGGACATGCCACCCATGTACGGGACACGCCACATGTTGACAACACCACCGGGAAAGTTGGTCCCGTTTTCTGGAATGTAGCTCTTGGTGGCGCCATGGTCTCATTCGAGTTTTGGGCTACTCAGTGAGTTCTCTCTGGCATGCTTTGTGGAGCTCAAGTATGTGTAACGTTCCCACCGGTCGCATCATATTTTGGATCGAACCTCTCGTGCCAACCCAACTCCCAGTACCCTCTCACTTCCTTTGGCACCCTCTCGCTACCTTTGGAGCCCTCCCGCCATCAAGTTGACAAGTTCAGCGCCCTCTCACTACCTTCAGCATCCTCCCGCTTAGCACATCCAATGCCACCAGCACCATGCGCAAACGCGCAGCGCATGTAGACTCGACTCTAGATGGGGAGTTCTCTCAGCTGCAAAGGTGCGTCATGGTGTTTTATTGTTTCAGTGTCTAATAAATTTATTATTTGTATATGGTACCCGCGCTCGCCACCATCTCACGCTGCTGCTCACTGCCATCTCCTGCTGCTGCTCGCCGCCATCCTCGACCCATGCTCATGATCGCCATCCTTCGCTGCCGCTTTCCTATTTCTGGTTGTGTCAACCCCTCGTTATCACAATCACTCTCCTGATACCTCTCGCGCATGGTAATTGGGGGGGAGCAGCCATGTTATTAGATTAGTTACTCAACATGTATACTACTTAGTACTTTGTCAATGTTTTTTTGCGTGCTCTTACAGTTTTTTTTTTGGTTTGGTTTGGGTTCGGACCCCCAAAAAACCGAACCGGACCATAGAGAACGGTTCTCTATGGTCCGGTTCTGGGTTCAGACATTTTGTAGAACCGAACCGATGGTCCGGTTCTTGGTTCTCGTCTAGGACCCTCCGAACCGGACCGAACCGGACCACGGCAGCACTAATAAGAATGGACATGTGTCAGCAGCAGTAGAGGCAGAAGAATATGCAGTTGGTATGCAGTTAGACTAGCTACCCAATGTCATGTAGATGTCTTGTGAATGTTTTTTCTGTTGCTTGAAAAATTTTTGGTTCAGTTCGCACTCGGACCAGACAAGAACCGGACTGGACCATTGAGAACCGTTCTCAATGGTCTGGTTCTGGGTTCGACAATTTTAAAGAACCGAACCATGGTTTGGTTCTTGGTTCTCGTCAAGGACCCTCTGAACCGGACCAAACCGGACCACGGCAGCACTATTTCTGATGCATGTGGCAGTACGGAGATTGATGCACGATGTCAACGCCTCCCCCCAAATCACCATATTCGACTATTTACGAAGGGCATCACAACTCTTTCACGTGTAAGCGGTACAGAACATAATCAAATTTGCCGTTTCTTGCTCGGCATCATCATCGACATCAGTCTACCTAATAATATGTCTTCCGCTCGACTCCTCCGTGCCGTTCGTGGTCTGCTAGACTTTTTATATTTTGCTCAGTACCCATGTCACAGCTCTGAGACGCTGGTTTTACTTGACGAGGCACTTAACCTTTTCCATGACAACAAGGACATCTTTATTGACCTTGGCATTCGGAATTCCTTCAACTTGCCAAAACTCCACTTCACAGCTCACTACGCTCACATGATTCGAATGTATGGCACTACGGACAACTACAATACCGAATACACCGAACGCCTTCACATCGACCTTGCGAAAGATGCTTATCGCTCTACGAACCACAAGAATGAGTTTGGTCAAATGACGACTTGGCTTGAACGGAGGGAGAAAATTTCACGTCACGAGAAATACATTCAGTGGAGACTCGTCGAAAACACCACACGTCCGCATCATCAGCCCCGTCCCCCAGAAATGACATTTCGTCGTACTCAAACGATGACAAAGCATCCTACCATCAAGGCGGTCACATTGGACAAGGTCGCAAACGAATATGGTGCCACGCACTTTAATGAATGTCTCGCACGTTATGTTGCGAAAGCTACCCTTCCTGTCGACACTACTGTTATGGCCAGGCAGCTCGAAGATCGAGCAGCTGATATACACATCCCATTTCAAAGACTACCGGTCTTTCACAAGGTGAAATGGCTCTTGGATAATGTTCGTGGTGATGGGGATCCTCCGGTCACAGTCGATAGTGTCCATGCACGTCCTGGACGATCAGGAAAATTTACATCCGACAGTGTTGCGCCACGATTTGATACCGTGTTCGTTAATGATGGCACAGGCGGGTCACTTGGCATCAAAGGTGAGTGCTCTGAATTGTGCTGTTGACTGGTACTCAGCGGTTACTATTTAGGATATCGAATTGCGCAAGTCCGTATCATATTCTCGATACCTCCCAAAGCCATCCCCCAACTTTTCCCGTCCACATTTCAGCCTCCGAAACATCTCGCATACGTCGAATGGTTCTCTGCCTTCCGTGTACCTGATCGAGATCACGGCCTGCACAAGGTCTCGCGTGTCGTTAAAAATGGAGAACGAATGGCCAGCATCATACCAATCAGCAATATTCGTTGTAGTGCCCATTTGATTCCGCATTTCGGCTCTGTAGCTCCTCGTGAATGGACCTCTGCTAACGTTCTTGACGAGTGTTCATCATTCTATGTAAATACATACTTAGATCGATACAGTTTTGCAACACTGCGCTAGTTGCCAATGATTATCATTAGCTTGCACTATACTATTGGTCTTAGAGCTAGCTACTATAAAATTTCACAGCTTGCGAAAATTTGTCTAAGAACGTCTAATCTATCTAAGTCTATATGGGAGGGTTTTCCTGATGTGCATGCTGTATGCGGTGCTATACCTTGAAATTCTGACAGCTCCTCGCCAAGGTCTGTTGGCCACGGTCTGGATATGTGTGCGATCGTTTGTGGAGGAGGCTAAAATGGAGCAGCCCTGCGAGAATGTATAAAAGATTCCCTCAGATTTCCAGCGTGAATCATCACTCTCATCCCTGACCATGCAGCTTTCTGTGCTCCTGAGCGCGCTTATATCTTTCGTCATTCTTGCTACAGCGTCACCCACGCCTGGAGCCATTTCGAAACGTTCCTGTGAGTATTCATGATCATCAGCAGTATCATATTCACTCATATGCCACAATGCACCACTCAGTCGAGCGAGACTCGCTTGACACGAACTTTCGACGTGATCTCCTAGTAGAGAGCAAAAAGCCCAAGGAACTCGAGTCGCATATCTCTTACGACGATGCCGACGTTCCTATCACCGGAGGTGGGGTGTAACTTATTCGCCATTTATTCATTTATGTATGGTGCCTTTGTACAGGCAAGAAGCGCAAGGAACTCGAGTCGCATATCTCTTATGACGATGCCGACGTCCCAAGTACTGGAGGTGGGGTATAACTTATATGCCATTTATTCATTTACTCATGGTACCTTTTGTACAGGCAAGAAGCGCAAGGAACTCGAGTCGCACATCTCTTACGACGATGCCGATGTCCCAACCACTGGAGGTGGTGTATAAATTATATGCCATTTATTCATTTACCCATGGTACCTTTTGTACAGGCAAGAAGCGCAAGGAACTTGAGTCGCACATCTCTTACGACGATGCCGATGTCCCAACCACTGGAGGTGGGATATAACTTATTTGCTATTTACTCATTTACGCATAGGACCTTTTGCACAGGCAAGAAGCGCGATGAACTCGAGTCGCGTATCGCTTACGACAACTAGGAAAACGAACAGCCTAGCATATATAAACCCGATTGATATGGCTATGGATTCAACGTAACAAGAAGTGAAGGTGTCTATAAAACACCTCAATAGGATAGAAATGTGGATTGATTTAGTCTCCCCTAGCAAGAATATGTAGAAAGAAGACAGGTTCCTTTATTATGAAGTGCATCATATCAGACACTCGACGGAGGATAAAAGACAAGAGGAGGTACGGTGCAGGACTGTTCCGCCCTGGATTAAGATTCAACGATTGAGGAATGCCCTGCTTCCTATGTAGCAGAGAATTCGAAACTTTGAAACAAACCGCATACCGATAAATTGCATCGATAGCCATCTAGATCATACGGAATACACCAAACAACCTCTTAACAAACACAAATTCACCTAGGCACTCTTCGACACGACATGCTTCGGGCCCATCTGCATCCCGTCCAAGTTTCAAATTGCGCATGACCATGCTCCAGGAGCACCTCGACCCTCGCCCACTTGGGGGGCTACACTCTTCGCGAGCGTAAGAAGAGGTGTTTCTGCAGGTTTGCACGCCATGTCCACAACCACACCGTTCGCAGTCGCATCAAACAACGCCGACGGAGGAAGTACAGATCCCAGGCTAGTGCTATTAGTATTTGACACGGTCGCTGGAACGGTGGATACGATGACAGTTGGTGCAGGTCCTTCGGCAGGCCAAGCATCAAGCATCTCGATCAGCTTGATGACGGGTGTCGAGGAATGCTTCGATGAGCACCTGCGCCTTGCTTGTAGTCCGGTTGAGCGGGTAGATGCGTTGAGTCCCCAGGGACTGAAGCGCAATGATGGTGGCTCTGGCGAATCGTCCTGTGCCGATGACGAGGGCGGCAGCAGGCGCACTAATAGGTGGCGCACGAGAGCGGATGGATTCACGAATACAGTGCCAGTCGGTGTTGTCTCCCCAAAGGATGCAGTTTCCTCCTTCGATGACCGGTATGGCCCATGGTATTCACAGCCCAGATAGCTTGTCAAGCAGGGGAATGACGTCGGGTTTGAAGAAAATGATAACTGAGGCGCTTCCAAAGTCAGGAGCAGCCAAGGTCGCTTTTGAGTTTTTCACCGACATCGGCTGTTGCTCAAAAGTGTGGGGAGCCTGAGGACCTCAAATCTAGCGTTATGAAGAGTCGGGGACATGGAATGAGCTATGTGATTTCCGAACAAGAAGTAGCGTCTCGCAGGAAGCTGAGATCCGACCGGTTGACCTCGGACACTCCACGCCCCATGATGTTAATCTTGGGTCCTTTCCTTGCTCCAATCGTGGCGTTCGTGGTGGTTGATGATGTAGTACTTTGGACGGGATCATTCTCAAGAGTCGTTTGTTGAATAGGCTGTTCATATGCCCTTTGCGCGCTCTCTCTTCAAATACGCCAGAACAAGGTACGGGGAACAGGTATAGGATGTAGGAGCAGATATTGCGGTTGGAACTTGAAGGAGCGGGAGAGGAAGTGATAACAAAGGGTTTGAAGATCTAGAGGAAGGAGCTTGTCCTTGGGATGTCAGTCAATTTCTCCCACCAGATGGAGATACGGCCATTGAGTATTGAGTATTGAATATCAAATGTTTGCAGGCTCTTTCGAAACCTTTGACATTATATTGTGCAGAGTGCGTCAAACCAATCCCATAATATGTTCCAGAATCCACGCGCTTTGACGGTATCCGAGTCACGCTCCGTATAGATCATCCCTGAATCAATATTTGCTCCCTCGGTCCTCGCTATCGATGTGGCCTTGTTCTAGTAGACCGGCTTGCTTAGGCACAGACTGCGAACGCGGATTTGGCCTAGCTATCATTGGCCGACGCGGTCCTGAGATTACAGTCCTCTGGGAATTTCCTCAGATGCATTATTGATAACGAATATGCCGAACGTATCTCTTGAGCTCGCGGCATCAGTAAAGAGTGTGAGACGCCTTAAGTACAGAGGAAATGCAGGCAGCTCGGAACAGCCGCGCTCGTTACATAGCGTGACCACACCCCATACTAGGCAGGTGTGATTTATGAAAATTTCTCGATTTCGACTTAATTTAAATTACATCTACTCAAGCAAGTACGATTTTTTTCCAAAAAAAAACGACTAGGTACTGATTGACTCCGAACTAGGTATTGCACCATAGTATCAGCCACGATAACAAAGCGAAAACAGAAATTCATGACACACTGTCGCAACATGCTGCCAGCTCAATTTTCAAGCGGCGGCCGTGGCTGCATGCAAATCAATTGTCCATCCTAAGGGGTGCAGGTGAGTCATATGGTTAAATACTGGTTGCACAGCGACCTGCTCATACTTACGCTACCAAAGTCACAAATCGAGTCATCGCAGCAAGCCTCGTCTATTATGCATGATTGTCCCTTGGTCAAACATGCACCGACAAACATAGATGTTGTCAAAGCAACAACAACGGCGAAGGGGGAGAAATGCATCTTCTGTGCGAGGTGATATGGGATCCTGAGGAGTCAATAGGATGATATCTCTGAGGATGGGGGAACACTGTAGGTGACGACCAGCTTTTATATCCTACATATGCTTATGGACACGATTCTCATCGATTTGGCAGATATAAATTTGACAATTACCATCGGATGATTCTGCATAAGTAGTATTCGAAGTCCAATTGCCCACACGATCAAGGACTATTATGCTTGTTCTCCTCGCGATTCCTGTCTCACCGGCACCTGTTGTTTGTTTATTGACCAACATGGTGAGTACAGCTCATACGAATATATACAAATCAAGTTACTAACACTTCAATCGGCTGCATCACCGTGACGAGTACGAGACTGAAGTATACACTTGTTTATTATCTAGCTTTTGTCCGAGTCCGTCCGCTCGTTTCCATCCTGTCCTATTATGAAACAAAATCACCACGGCAACACACATTCATGTACTAGAACAGATACGAGTGAACGAGGAGGAAAAGGGTGACAAAGTTGGCGGCGATTATTGGTGTGGAAGAAGACCTTGGCGTGAACACTCTCAGTCATTAGCTTGACACTAGGACATCCTAGAACGAATGCCCACACATCAAGAACATCCGTGATTTCTGTGACGGCCTTGATCATCAAATTCAGTTTCATGATTATAGAATCTTCACATTCTCGATTCCTTTGGCTTGCAGACAGCTGTCTCAGTTGGTGTCTAGTGTTACATCAACTATGCGATAACGTTCAGGGAGCGTAACGTTTCGAATAGCCGCCACGTCGGCAGTACGCAGCCACTTCTGAATCGAAAGGACGTGTTTGTATCAAATAGACGCGTCAACTGTGACGCTATCTGGTACTCTCTCTGCTGGCAGCAACCACGTGTGTCGAGGCATAGCTGGTTATGAAGTGCCGGGCCAGACACCGGGCCGTGCGCGTGATTCATGCATCATAATTCATCCACATCCATACAATGCACGCTACGTATGATATGACCAGGTGCAGCATATTTTCGATAGCCTCCGTCACGCACGAATTTATAGGCTAAGCTTAAACCCAGACCCCAGCTCTGCCCCTTCTCCCTCGTATTCACTGGCAGCAATACACGGTGTTACTTTACCCAAAGGTCATGATCAAATTTTTCTCGCAGTACTCTCCTATAGATACTGTCGACGACGATGAGAAACTAGCAAAAAGGTTCGGTGCAGAATCTCATCTCAAGTCACATACCCTTCGCCTGTGGTTGTCCCATGGCGTACTTATTTGCACATCGATTCTCTCTTTTGCGCTATGGATGCGTACGCCTTCAACTCAGCTGATCAACGACACACCTAGTATATACTGTAAGTGGAAGGATCGCATCGAACAGTATAGTTTATGATCTTGTCACAGCTGTAGCAAGTGTTGCTGTCGAGCCCGTAATTATAAGGTTTAACGGATCCTACGAGTTTCCTTCTATCTATCGTGGTCCCCCTTCGCCAGAAATTGATGCCGCTTGGAATGGGATAGCTAATAATTGTGCGTTGTTGTCTCGCTATGCTAATTATAAATTGTCCACCGTAAAACCCAGTAACTCAAATGACCCGTGAAGACATACTCAAAGGAGGCACAACCGAGGCAGAATTGCCTTGGAAAGCCAGGTATCCAGAAACAATCGGTGGACAGTACATTGGTTTTATGGAAGCCATCCACCAATTGCATTGCGTGGTAAGCTATACTGCATCGATAATATGTTCATTCTTGGCTCACACTAGTGTAGAACTTGCTTCGCCAAGCCTCTTGGTCGGAGTATTACGAGTCCATTAAAGAACCTCTGTTCCAAACCACCCCAAGAGTACTTCGTGCGCATATCGGTGAATATTATTTCTGCCTCGAAGCACTATTGCTTATGGTATATCGTTACGGTCCAGATCACTGCGTCGAAATGTTAAGGCAGAATATTATGTGCCATGCCGACACGACGATGATCACATGGTACTGGGTGCAGGGAAAGATCCACCCTATCCCTGACTTCAGCACCCGTCATCGATGCAGGAACTTCGACAAAATATGGGATTGGTCTATCAAAAACTCCGTCCATATTGCTGAAACCGAGGTCACTCGCTACCCAGATACGGTTAACCTCCCAAGACCAAAAAGCGATGAGGAATGAGAAATATCATACTGCTTGCCTACCTGCTCACTGCACTTGTTCAAGAATACCGTGGGAGGAGGAGGGCGGTTATTGGTGTCTTAGAATAACTGTCGCATTATCATAGAGTTCATGAACCGAGCGAGATGTAGATTTATGTGATCCAGAACGTCAGACAAGCTTACATATCTAGGCCAGAGGATAAACAGAACCGCTTCCTAGACACTTGCTCTTGAATCATCCTATTCCCCAAGGCCACTAAACCCAAATGGTTGTCGCTGATCAATAATTGGTGTGCACCATGGCCTACTAACTTTCTTGATAATCATGGTGGTCTCGATAAATTCTCACCCGATGAGGCTCTTCGAGTAAACCATGATATGATGGATGGAATATGGTCAGCACCTCGAGTGCATTGACTCGTCTGTTCTAGCTTTTCATGACTTCATGGCAAAGTCTCTCGACCGTCACAAGGCGATTCTCCAATGTGGCAGCGTACTGCATCAAAAACTCTCTCCGGATACGAGAGGAGACATCAGTGACATGGTTACAAGTATTTTCTAGGATATCTCTACATTCCAGGAGTCTACGATCCATCAACTCACTGCGCTCCAGGACTCCATAAATCAATGGCCCACGCCAGATCATCACCATGTGAAGCCCACTCATAATAATGTAACTCTTCTTTCAGAACTTAGATCGCATACCGACCTAGGCTGGGGATCAATCGACATCACTGCTCATGCCCGCAATGACGCTTTGACCGAATTAGGGCGTAACAGGGAGAGAGGCTGTGATTGTTCTCCTACTGGTATTGTAGATGATCCATTACAACCCCTCCCTTGGAATGCCGGGTTGGCAAGGATTGCTTCGCGCATGTGGACTGGAGACATCATAGTAGCATGGCCAACCTCAGCGAGTCTTATAACGCGGTCGTGACGCGGCGGTGACGCAGCTGTGACGCGGCGTGACGCGCATGTGACGCGGCACTAACGAGCCTTGACGTGGCCACTGATGCGCCATTCCTATATGTTCTATGTACATTCGACTTCCAGATCAAGTTGGATGAGTTCACGATCATTGCCTGTGGAGCACATCGACGTTTAACAGCCGGACATTCTTCAGCCGGCGGAGAAGGAATTACAGCTTCGGATAACTTGTCTGCAGACATCCAAAGATGTAGCATCAGAGCTATCACTGAATAAGGGTTTGACGCGGCATGAGTGAAGTTTGACGCGGCAGTGAAGTTTGACGCGACATGGACAAGGTTTGAAAATTTGACGCGGCACTGATGCGGTATGTGCTATGGTTGACGCGGCACTGATAGTAGGCCTTGACGTGGCATAGAGTGTGGATGTTGATATTAGTACAGAGACTGCGAAGATATTTGGGAGAACTCGTCGTGGTGTGAGTGGTGCTTGACCCAGCCTAAACGAGGCTTCTGACATGACATGGTTGAGGCTTGACGTGATGGTGCAGAGTATAGAGAATGGATCGAACTTGACGGGGTGAGGTTGAGGCTTGACACAGTGAGACAACACTTGACACTGCGTCTGAAAACCAACATAGATGAACGAATTAGAGGTAATGCAACAATACAAGACTGACGCGCAAGATCATATATGCATACTAGTAGTGTGAACAGAGGACAAGCACTGTAAATTTGGTGAGAAGTGAATACAGCACTATAGAGCCTGTACGCAGGCAGACATTCATATGTTGATCATTAACGAGGATTTCAAAGTGTTTGGAATGACATATGAAGTTGTTTGAACATGATCCGTACCTAGGAATTTGTTACAGTGCCGCGTCACAGGCGCGTCACGACCGCGGCAGGGCCGCGTCAATTTCACCTGGCCCCTTTATCCTTCCATTGTAGATTTGCAAAACTAAACGACTACAAAATACGCTGGAAATCATGACAACATGTTTGAATATTTATCCATGCATGGGTTTACGACGTGGCGGCTCCTCACACACTACAAAACATTTACTCATGGCGATGAAGCTTTTGCTGCAGCCTGAGACTCATTTGTATCAGTCACTGGGCAACTGCCACGCAACTCATCACAGCTGTTTTATCGAAACTGTTTATCTGTCACTGGGTCTCGGCTCCATATCAGATATTGCATGCTGTATCGTGACGGTGCTCACCTCGACAAGTCGTGGCTGAGATCCGCCTACCACGTTTTGGACATGTGTGCGATCTTGGTCGGTGAAAGACTCGGAGGACCCCCGAGAATGTATAAAAAGTCCTCTCGGACTTTTAGTACGACACGTCCGAACGAGTAGTCACTTCTCTTATCCCTAAACATGCAGCTTTCTGTACTCCTGAGCGCACTTATATCTTTCGCCATTCTTGCTGCAGCGTCACCTACGCCTGGAGCCATCTCGAAACGTTCTTGTGAGTATTCACGATCGTCAGCAGCATCATATTCATTCAGGTGCCGATGTACCACTCAGTCGAACGAGGGGAACGAGGAGAACTTGACACGAACTTTCAACGTGATCTCCTAGAAGAGGACAAGAAGCGCGAGGAGGACTTCACAGCATACTATGCTTGGTATGGCCCAGGCACTGAAGGTGGGGGTATTACTTATTTGTCGTTTATTCATTTACGCATCGCACCTTTTGCACCAGACAAGAAGCGCGAGGAACTCGGGTCGGGTATGTGAGCAAAGTTAGATTAGATACGAAACGAGAGCAAATGATGAGACAGATAACGAGACGTTTGAAACAAACACATTCTAAAAACTTTCTGAGGTTCTTGGAGCGGGGGTCTGAGTATAGGATTCGCTGTAGGTATGAGTGTACATGGGGAGTATAAGTATATACACGTTTTCGAATACTTGACTAGGCCAGAAGGAAATCGTGAAGTTTGAGCACAAGGTGAGATAACGAAAGTGAGTGAAAAGGAGATGTAAGAGAAACATGCGAAGAGTGATGTGGTGAGTCACGTGGACAGTTTCGAGCGCGCCTAGTCATAATCCGTGCGTAGGGTATAGCACGGGTATGGGCCACACCGGGTGTTGATCTTCCGACCCGCGGGTGTACCCGTGCTATACCCTATCCGTGCGTGATAGGCAATCCTTACAAGTGTATGTCTACAAAACACACCGATGGTTCACAACAGAAACATTGACAGTGTGAGTCCTCAAAATGTTTTAGGGTTACTAGGGATCCTTTTCCTGTTCGGTTTGTTCGACCCATCTGAGCTTGTCGTAGAACGAGACGATGTACAGATCTTACTATCCCCAAACGCATGGCTGACGTGGTACTTCGAATAAACATCACTCACTCAAGTGTGCTGCCATTTCAAATGTTGTGCTCGGAGACCCGTGGCAAATATGACACATTCACTTGACAACTTGAAGGTGTGAAGCTTTAAGTACCTAACCTTTGGCCATCTCGATTTATCTTTCCATTGTAGATTGGCAAAACTAAATTCCACTTGATAACTGCAAAAGATGTTGGCAATCATGACAACATGTTTGAGTTTTCATCCATGCATGGCCTGGTTATGACGTGGCAGCTCCTCACACACTACCAAACGTTACCTAGCCTACCACGATCTGGACATGTGTGCAATCTTCGTCGGTGGAATCGAGCGGACCCCTAGGGGCCCGAGAATGTATAAAAAGTCCTCATCCGAACGAATAGTCACTCATCTCATCCCTAAACATGCAGCTTCCTGTACTCCTGAGCGCACTTATATCTTTCGTCATTCTTGCTGCAGCGTCACCCACGCCTGGAGCCATCTCGAAACGTTCTTGTGAGTATCCACGATCATCAGCAGTATCATATTCACTCAGATGCCAATGTACCACTCAGTTGAGCGACGGGAACTTGACACGAACTTTCAACGTGACCTCCTAGAAGAGCGCAAGGAGCTGAAGACTGACTTCGTACTATATCCTGGGTATGACGGCCCAGGCACTGGAGGTAGGTATAACTTATTTGTCATTTTTTCATTTACGCATTGTACCTTTTGCACCAGACAAGAAGCGCAAGGAACTCGGGTCGGGTATTGAGTACGACGGGCACGACTAGGATAATAAACAGCGTAGCAAAAAGAAGTGAGTGTCTACAAAACATGCTGATAGAGGAGAATGTGGTGAGTTGATCTAGTCTCCCCTAGCCAGAACACAAAGAAAGAGGACAGTCGTTTTGGAGTTGATGATATCAGAGGCTCAACAGAGAATAAAACGGGAGGAAAGGGGGAAGGGACGGTGCAGGACTGTTCTATCCCGGATTGGTCGAAGATAAATGCCCTCCCTCCTGTGTAGTAGAGAATTCGGAACTTTGAAACAAATTGCATCGATAGCCATTTAGATCGTACAACATACATGTATTGATACCAAGCTAATCAACAACCTTTTAACAACCAGATACAGACACAAATCCACCTAGGCAGCTGCAAAATATTTCTCCACCACACTCTTCGACACGACATGCTTCGGGCATCTGCGTCCCATCCAAGTTTCGAATTGCGCATAACCTTGCTCCAGGAGCACCTCAACCCCCACAACCCTTGCCCAATTGGGAGCTGCACTCTTCGCGAGCGTGAGAAGATGTGTCTCTGCAGGTTTGTATGCCATGTCCACGACCGCGCCGTTCACGGTCGCGTCAAACAACGCCAACGGAAGGAGTACGGCACCTGGGTTAGTGCTGTCGGTAGTTGTCGCACTTGCTGGGACGGTGGATACGATGACAGTTGGTGCAGGCCCCTCAGCAGGCCATACATCAAGGGTCTCGATCAGCTTGACGGGGGCGTCAGGTAACGCTTCGGCTGAACAGGTAGATGCGTTGAGCTCCCAAGGACTGAAGCGCAAAGATGGCGGCTCTAGCAGTTCCTCCTGCGCCGACAACGAGGGCGGCAGCGGATGCACCGATAGATGGCGCACGAGAGCGGATGGATTCACGAATGCCGAGCCAGTCGGTGTTGCCACCATGGAGCATGCGGTTTTCTCCTTCGGTGGCCGGTATAATGGTGTTCATAGCTCCGATAGCTTCAGCGGCTGGCGAAAGCTTGTCAAGCAGGGGTATGACGTCGAGTTTGAAGGGAATGGTAACGGAGGCGCCTCCAAAGTCAGGAGCAGCCAAGGTGGCTTTGATTTTTTCACCGACATTAGCTGTCTCGAGAAACTCAGAATAACTGTCGCATTATCATAGAGTTCATGAAACGAGCAAGATGTAGATTTATGTGATCCAGAATGTCAGAGAAGCTTACATATGTAGGCCAGAGGACAACTTCAAGAATGATGCAGCAGAAACGCTTCCCAGACACTTGCTCCCAGATGATTCTGTTCACGGTTGTCACGTGTAAGCTGAACGCTTACTATACGCTTACACATCATACGACACGTGACCTTTTCCTGCTGATTATATCACTTTACGCCGAGTCGGGTCTCCCATTGACCCTCATCTGCTCATCCGTATAACGGTCTGGAAATACACAATTTCGTCCTGTTATATCTTCCGACCTGTCTTAGTGCTCCCCGCCATTTTCCTGGCGAGGTCACAGGTTGTCGCTGATCAATAATGATTGGTGTGTGCCATCGCCTGCTAACTTCCTTCATAATTATGGTGGTCTCGATAAATTCTCACCCGATGTGAGCTCACCGTAGAACGAGACCATGTACAGATCTTACTATTCTTAAACGCATGGCTGACGTGGTGCTCCGAAGAATCTCAAACATTGCTCACTAGCATGCTGCCATTCCAAGCGTCCTGCTCGGAGACCTGTGGCAAACTTTACGTCATGTTCACCAGTAGCGCTCCGACAAGGTGTGGAGGCTTAAAGCTTAAGTATCTAACCTTTGGCCGTCACGTGCACGATTTATCCTTCCAGTCACATCAGTAAATCTTCTAGCTTTTTTTAGCACTTCAATAAGTGATCCGTCACTCTTTTTCACTGGCATGCTTATTTTTCGGACTTGATAGATTGGCGAGACTAAATTCCACTTGATGACTGCAAAAGATGCTGGCAATCATGACAACATGTTTGAATTTTTATCCATGCATGGGTTACGACGTGGCAGCTCCTCACACAACTACCAAACGTTACCTAGTACTAATGGCGATGAAGAACTTCCGCGGCGGACTCATTTGTATCAGTCACTGGGCAATTGCCACGCAACTCATCACGGCTGTTTTCTCGAATCTGTTTATCGCTGACTGGGTCTCGGCTCCATGTGTTGTGCGATCTTCGTCGGTGGAAGAGGCTAAAATCGAGCGGACCCCTGAGAATGTATAAAAAGTCCTCATCCGAACGAATAGTCACTCATCTTATCCCTAAACATGCAGCTTTCTGTACTCCTAAGCGCACTTATATCATCTTTCATTATTCTTGCTGCAGCGTCACCCATGCCTGGAGCCATCTCGAAACGTTCTTGTGAGTATTCAGGATCATCAGCAGCATCATATTCACTCAGATGCCAATGTGCCACTCAGTTGAGCGACGGGAGCTTGACACGAACTTTGGACGTGATCTCCTAGAAGAGGACAAGAAGCGCGAGGAGCTGAAGACTGACTTCATCATATATGCTTGGTATGACGGCCCAGGCACTGGAGGTAGGTATAGCGTATTTGTCATTTATTCATTTACGCATTGTATCTTTGCACCAGACAAGAAGCGCAAGGAACTCGGGTCGGGTATTGAGTACGACGGGCACGACTAGGATAATAAACAGCGTAGCAAAAAGAAGTGACTGTCTACAAATACTGATAGAGGAGAAATGTAGTGAGTTGATCTAGCCTCCCCTAGCCAGAACAAATACAGTTGTTCCTTCTTGATTTTGGAGCTGATAATATCAGAAGCTTAACAGAGAATAAAACAGGAGGTAAAGGACGAAGGGACGGTGCAGGACTGTTCTACCCCGGATTGACATACTATCTCTCCTGTGTAGTAGAGAATTCGAAGCTTTGAAACGAAGTGCATCGATAGCCATCTAGATCGTACAACATACATGTATTGATACCAAGCCAATCAACAACCTTTTAACATCCAAATCCAGACACAAATCCACCTAGGCAGTTTCAAAATATTTCTCCAACACACTCTTCGATACGACATGCTTCGTGCATCTGCGTCCCGTCCAAGTTTCAAATTGCGCATAACCCTGCTCCAGGAGCACCTCAACCCCCATAACCCTTGCCCAATTGGGAGCTGCACTCTTCGCGAGCGTGATAAGAGGTGTCTCTGCGGGTTTGTATGCCATGTCCACGACCACGCCGTTCACAGTCGCGTCAAACAACGCCAGCGGAAGGAGTACACCTGGGTTAGTGCTGTCGGTAGTTGTCGCACTTACTGGGACGGTGGAAATGATGACAGTTGGCGCAGGCCCCTCAGCAGGCCAGACATCAAGGGTCTCGATCAGCTTGACGGGGGCGTCAGGGAACGCTTCGACAAGCACTTGCGCCTTGCTTGCAGTTCGGTTGAACAGGTAGATGCGCTGAGCCCCTAGGGACTGAAGCGCAAAGATGGCGGCCCTGGCGGTCCCTCCTGCGCCGATAACGAGGGCGGCAGCGGGTGCACCGATAGATGGCGCACGAGAGCGGATGGATTCACGAATCCCAAGCCAGTCGGTGTTGTCACCGCGGAGGATACGGTTGCCTCCTTCGATGACCGGTATGATGGTGTTCACAGCCCCGATAGCTTCAGCGGCTGGCGAAAGCTTGTCAAGCAGGGGTATGACGTCGAGTTTGAAGGGAATGGTAACAGAGGCGCCTCCAAAGTCAGGAGCAGCCAAGGTGGCTTTGATTTCTTCACCAACGTTAGTTGTCTCGAGAAGCTCATAAGTGTGGGGAAGCCCGAGGACCTCAAATCCAGCGTTGTGAAGAGTCGGGGACATGGAATGAGCTATGGGATTTCCGAACAAGAAGTGGCGTCTCGCAGGAAGCTGACCCAGCAGGTTCAACGCTTTCTGAATCTGCGCAAAGGAAAGCTGGCCAGGTGCTGCCTTCGAGGGGAGAAGTGGGTGTGTCACAGGGCTCAAAGTCGCATTCAGTATACGTGACATCTGACCCTCCACACCCATGTTGATCGCAATGATCGGTTTGGCGCCTCGCTGCAGGTTAGCCCTCGCAACGAAATCATGCAACGCAAAGTTGTCCTGCAAAGTGTCTGCCTTTCCGACGATCTTCACAATGTCCCCGAGTTGGCTCGCAAGCGCGTACTTGCTTCTCACCACATCTTCGTTCCACTTCATCTTTCCACTCCAGTCGTGCCACGATGCGATGATTTGGGAGAATCCCTTGCGAGCGGCGAGTTCTGTAATGAGCTTCTCAGATGCAGAGATCTCCACATCAACATACTCCACTCCAAGTCGCAGTGCAAGCCCAAGAAGCTCAAACGCGTCTTTCTCTGAGTTGTCCGGGAACGCACCGCCCTGGCCTATCGTGCGCACAGTGAATATAATCGGAAGACTCGTCGCCCGGCGTAGCGAAGCGACTTGTGCGGAGACGTAAGCTTGCGAAGGGATGGAGGCCAATGCGTCAGGGGCGCGGAGTAGATCCACACGCAACTCTACAGCATCAACACCCGTTGTGAGGTCTGGCATGTGGCGCAAAGCGGGCACCACATCGGGGTATGTGAGCGACAAGAAGTAGCTACGCTTCCCAGCAGCAACATTCTCCGCGAGGTTCGGCTGGCCTGTAATGTGCTTGAAGAAACGAGAAATCTCTGCGTTGGTTGCCTCACCGCCGTCAACGGTGATATGGTTGATGAAATCGTAATTGGCGCATTTAATAAACCATGGCTCCCGTCGTTTGAATACCTCGGTAATCGGCTCGCCGTACGCAGGACGTGCGTTTTCATCACCAAGGTAGCTCACAATCTCCTCGATGTTCCTCAGGACATGCACGGCCGGACCCGTCTTTGCGTAGTTCTTCAAAATATCCCTGGCTTCAGGCGTCTCCACAATCCCACCACCCATGCTGACCACGTGTCCCGTTCCAGCCTCTTGAATGATCTGCTTCAAGTTCTCCGTCTCTGCGGCACGGAATGCAGGCCACCCGTTGACATGTACGAACTCGCGTACGCTAATGTTGTGTTTGGCTTCGAAGAAATGGTCTGCATCAATGAATGGCCAAGAGAGAGCAGCGCTCGCGAGTGTTCCGACGTGTGTCTTGCCTGAACCGCGCATGCCAATGAGGATCACGGATGCAGAGGCTGCAGGGGAGGGTGTCCCAGAAGTAGCAGCGGTGGAGCTCTCAGCATGCGGGAGCTCGATGCCCCCAACTTTGATGCCTATCTGGGTGTACATGTTAGGACCAAGCTTGAGGGAGAACGAATAAAGATGTGAATCACACCTTGTTCTCCAAATCATCCCACCAGTTGGGCCATGTCTTTTCGACGCAACGTTTCTCCTCGATGATTGTGTCGGGTACGATGGTACTTAAGACGCTGAACGCCATCGCGACACGGTGGTCGTCATAGCAGTGTATGCTCGCGCCACGGGTGAGGGTGTTGAATGGGCGACCGTACACCTCGAGTCCATCATCCAGTTCTTTGGTCTGCACGCCGAATTTGGCTGTGAGGGTTAAGTCAGTCATGAGAGTGAGCAGCGATTAGACGCAATCGAAGAACCTACCCAATTGATCAATCATTGCCTTGATACGATTACACTCCTTCACTCTCTGGTTTGCAATCCCAACGATCCTTGTCGTATTCCCCTCCCCGCCCTGCGCAACGGCAGCAAGGGCACACGCTGTCAAAAACGCATCCGTCATCGGCTCCATATCCACCTCTCCAATCGCTTTCAGCTCGCCCCTCTTCGGACCAGTGACGGTCGTCTCATTTGCAGTCTGCACCACATCGCACCCCATGCGTGCAAGGACGTCTACGGCGAAACGAGCATCACCCTGTAAACTTGCGCTTCCGATGTTCTCGAGCGTGCATGTTGTCCCCGTAATGGCAGCAATAGCAAGCGGGTACGTCGCGCTACTCGCGTCGCTTTCAATCGCGTATTGGGCGGGGTTCACGTATGTGCCCTGAGGAATTCGGTAGACGTCGGTTCCTGGGTCGCGCGTGACAATCACTCCGAATGTGCGCATCATCGCGATTGTCATGTCGATGTATGGCTGCGAGATAACAGCGCCACCCACGAGTTCGAGAGTCACCGCCTCCCTTGCATACGGCGCGCAGAGAAGGATGCTGCTGACGTACTGGCTCGACACGCTTGCTGCGAGACGGCATCAGAGAACTCATGAGTCCGTGACATGGTAGCCGTGGCGACTATAGGATGACATAATTCTGCTTCTGCTAAATATCGTTATGTATACTGCGAGATATTTGAGTTACTGGTACATAGCCATGAATGTCTGAAAATCTAGATTACCATGAGGAGTTCGTGACAAGATCACGACTTTGCACCATCACAGCTGGAAAGCTATAACAGCGTAATTAGATACAACTTGTTGAGCAATATCATATTCCGTTATTTATGTTTGGAATTATAATGTTATTCAGGACTTTGTGGTGGAAAACGCCATTAGACTTTGATATCCCATCTAGATTCGTATGAGAGCTCCCGACAGAGTCACAGGATTGCACCATCACGGCCAGAAAGGTATAATAGCGCGATTAGGGCCTACCTGTTAAGCAATGTCATATTCCATCATTTATGTTTGGAACTACAATGTTATTCAGGGCTTTATGGTGGAAAATGCCATCAACCTTTGTCATCCAATCTAGTTTCGTATGAGAGCTCCTGACAAAGTCACGATTTTGCAACATCGCAGCCGCCGAGGTATTATAGCGTAATCAGGTCCTACTTGCTGAACAGTATTATATTTCCTTATTTATGCTGGACTTACAATGCTAAATCATGGGACTAAAATATTGCTTCAATTACAATGCTATGAGATCGTGTACTTATCGCTTCGATTTACACTGCTTGAGACGCAGTACGTGCAAATACCAGATGCGAGCTACAGGGTATAGTATAGGCTAGAGCTGCGATCTAATCTATCGTGTTCTTTCGCAAGTTTAATCAGCTTTTCAAATTTGTCCAATGTCTCTGACAGATTGAAACGAGCAGTCTCATAATTGCCACGTCATTATGGAAAGTAAGAGGTCAGACGCATTCGTTTGGCACCAGACCCCCAATCACCGGCAGCTTCAAATAACATATAATATGCATATATACGAACCAACACATCAAATTAACAGTGTATGACGCATGACAACTCAAAATGACAGAAAAACGACGCACTTCTTAGTCGTTGATCACTGGCTCGCAAGGTCATGCTTCATGGTCCGCACTTTCTCTCATCCTCATACGTATCTTGAGTCCAGTGATACAATTGGGTTGGATCTTGGGCTTCTTTGCTACTCTCCCTTTGTCAAGTAGAAGCTGGCCTAGTGTTGAGGCAGTGACGGCGACATTTGAAGTAGTCAGTAGATAAATGACATTGATACAAAAATGGCGTACCTGGCTCGCAAGGTTAAGAGCGGCGACAGCGATACACCAGATGGCGGGACTGAAAGTATCTGGGCATTTGCAACAGAGTTATCAACCTCGTCTATGATGGTTGGCGAAACTGTATGCATGGAACACGAGGGTCAATGGCACGTTGTTAGGAAAACAAAGTGACTTACGCAAGGAGGCCACCAAAGGCGCCTACAATTGAAGAGAAGACGTGCGGCCGCCGAGTATGTTGAAGTTCCACAAGAAACTGTATGCATGGAACACGAGGGTCAATGGCACGTTGTTAGGAAAACAAAGTGACTTACACAAGGAGGCCACCAAAGGCGCCTACAATTGAAGAGAAGACGTGCGGCCGAGTATGTTGAAGTTCCACAAGAAAGGCTGGTAAGATGGAATAATAGAGGCGTCGGGAAGTGCGAGCGAGGGCTTATTTGCGAGTCTGGAAGCGCGGGACATGCCAGTTTTTGTGCGGAGAAGATAGCATTCATAATTGGGATGTACGAAGAAGACAAGTCAGGTGAAACTGAAAGGATTAAGATGCGAGGGTCATGGACGATCGACGGGTCCTCTGCAACACCGGCAGTCGTTGATGAGGGATGGGTGATGCGGTTGATGTCTGGATATGAGTCAGGTCGTTGGTAGCGATACATTCTCTTTCACGCACAACACAGTGCCTTCGTCACAGCACCTACCAATGCACATGAAGCTGTGATGCAAATGAGACGACACAAGGCAGGTCAGATGTCCGTCACTTACGTTCTTCCTCGAGCTCTCCGATAGCATCAAACTCATTCATGATCCTCTGTACAACTGTCGAGTCCACAAGCTTGAAAGGCAGATACGAGTTAGCATCCAATGAGGGCACGTCATCCGAGAGCAACTCCGTGGATGAATAGAGCAACACACTGTTCGTCAGCAGTTCATGAAGTGCTCGCTCCTGAGGATAGATCTCACCTCTTCCCAGGAAGCGCGCCAAAGACTACAAGTGAGTTCTCATGCTTGGACGCGATATGCGCATTCAGAAATGCGAGAAGCTGCGAGAGAAACGTCTCGATGGAGAGTGGATACTGGTTTGAAGTTTGCGCAGAGAGGTGCCATTGCGTTGGAGATAGGTCTACTATGACAGATAAGTGCGATGCTTTCTCCATGGCTGAAATGATGCATGTCAAGTATTTTGTCGAGTTTGGTGCATGGCTGGTACTACCGTACAGCCACAATATGCAGCCATCATGTTTGCTTCAAGAACCCTAAGTACGTATCTAAGCGTACAATATCTAAATCTCTATCTGATGATCGACTGACGACTCGTGGTATATCAGTAATGCAAGGGTCAGGTGTTCATAAGGAGGTTCATTACTAGCATTCACGAGCTTGAACCAACTGCTCTCAAGCCAAAAAATCTGTCTCTCTCCAAGCAGCTACCCACTTCCTCACCAGTCCATCATCAGCGATAGGTGCGCTCCTGAGACTATTACTTGCTTTCTTGGTTTGTACTGTCAGTAATGGGTACCGCGTAACCAGTTCCTCTTGTCCGTATTTGTTCTCAAAAAAGGTCAACAGCTTCCGGCTCGGGTTATTCACTTCATCAATAGGGCTAGCGCGCAAAGCCTTGATCCACTCGTGCCTCGGGAGGGCTTTAAATTTCAGGCCGGCGTGTTGGAGAGGTTGAGGGGGAACATTGACCAGATCGATGATAGCCTTTGCTGCGTAGTCCACTGGGAGCCACGAAACTGACTCATCGAGATTGGGAAGAATTCCAATTGTATCTGTGCACTGCCACGGAATTTAACAATCACATATATCATCGATAACGGGTTTTCATACCTTGATGATGAGTGAGATAGCCTCCGTCTCGTTCCACACGCCATTCTGAGTCTCCCACCATTTGGCCAATTCCTGCACGTGCTTCAGTGACTATTTCTCCTATAGTGAACATGTCTCACGTAGCACGCCCGCCCGAATAGGTGTCTGCTGAGAGAGAGGCAACTTGGCAGAGCTTTTCAGTGATCCACTTCGATTGCGCACTAACTAGAGTCAGAAATCCGAACGTCAACTACGCGAAGCACGAGGTGCTCACTAGCCCAACCCCTGAGCGACAGAGGGATCGTCCGTAATGGCTTCTGGGATTGAGTCTGGTCCATGCCAAGCTGCGACGGCACTGATCGAAGATGCGAAGTAAAAGTCTGCTGGTCGGGGATGAGGAGATGCCAGCGCGAGATTAATTAAATTGACGGCTTCACGGATGTGAGGTTCGAAGCTATTGCTCTGTTAGTCAATATTCATCGAATCGAAGTGGACTTGCCTAGAAATGCCAATGTTGAAGTTGACCGCCCAAGCGTTCTGCACACAAGATTGACGAGAATGAACCAAGTAGTGTCTTTGATGCTTACGTGAATGATCAGCGTTGCCCGTGTTGCAATCTCGTTGTACATGTCTGTCTGAAGTCCGAGCTTGTCGGTAGACAGGTCGGAAGCGAGAGCTTTGACACGCGTTTGAACCTGCTCATAGCGAGTGAATAACTTCCTTGTCTTCTTGGAAGCCGTTATGCGACTGGACGCATCTGCATCGTCCTCTGCTCTGCACAGACAGTAAACAGTGGCCACAGAAGGGTCCGAAAGTAGTTCATCCAGAATATATACTCCCAGAGACCCAGTCGCGCCAGTCAACACAACCTACATCAATATCGCAATCAGGCGTAGAATTTTTGGAAAGTGCAACAGGGAGCTTACAACGCGAGGGGTAACCGAGTTGCTTGCGGTTCCATTTGTTCCGTTGGCATGAGCCTTTTGCGTATAAGCGAAAGAGCTGTACTTCTCAACAAGTTCCAGCACGATCTCGAGCGAGCTTCGTTGTGCTAGAGCACCTTCATTGCCAGAGGACATTGCAATCAGGAGTCGAGCGATCCTGTATGCTTACTTTAGCCAAGGCGATATACAGCTTCATGCGCATGAAGGGATAAACGTACTGCGTGATGGAAGGAAGTTCGAAAACAGTGTTGGGGGCCAGCGGCTTCTTGCCACCTAGGTAAATCTCCTGCGCCGTTAATAAGCTTACAAGCAGCAATAAGCAGAACGTTTGAGCTGACTCTCTGAATGGTGTTTCGTATTCTGCTAGACTGCAACGAGTCTAACCCGAAATCGAAGAGGTCAGTATCATCTTCTAGGCTGTCGATAGGTTGATCGACCGTCTTGCCGATTACATCTCTAATGGCCATCCTAGCATCTGCCTCATCAATCAGTCGTCTCTTCCCATCCTCGTCGATGTCACCCTCTAGTCGTTTATAGGCCTCATTTACAATGCCTTCGAACTCCTTGTACACCCGTGGTCTGATGATACTGCCCTTATCAGCACGAGGAATCACTGTGCCATGAGGGAGAAATACAAGTGCTTCGGACGCAAGCTGCGAATGCGAGGGGGCCTCAGCATTGGCAAGGGCGACGATAGGCGCGACAAGCTTAGCGAGCTCTGAAGCAGAGCAGTCCTTCGCAATTTCGGTTGGGAGGATCAGAGCTCCAATTTGAATGCGGCCGGCACCGAAGATGATGGCATCCGCAATATAGGGAGATGAACGAAGTGTGAGCTCCATCAGGGACCGGATTCGTCTTCTCGCCGTTAACCTGGGCATGTTGTTAAATAAAAATCATCTTGATTTGGTTTGATATCCATACCATGACCAGGGTGTCGTCAATTCGCCCCATGAACTTGTATGCGTCAGGGATGGTGGGATGCTTGATAGATAGATCTTTCGTTGCGTACGACCCATCGGGTCAAATGCTCATAACCTTCGCCGGCAATTAGTAAGACAATATGATCCAATGATAGTATATATACTTGCCTTGTGGGGCCAGCCATCCAAAACGAGCAGCTCATAGGTATCCCCGCCCAGAGGTTCGAATCGCAGGTAGTCGTTCACATTGGTATTTACATATGGCCCCTTAGCGCGCGTCCAATTCCAGCCCTTATCGGTCTCGAAGTCCCGGAAAGACGTCATGAGCTGACCCGTTTCAGCTGCAAAGAGGTATGCTGAATGTCAAGTTGCTCTCAACCTGTCAGCATATCACTCACTAGCGCCATAATAGCCTATCAAGCGGACACCCTCATTGACAAGGAAGTCGCCGAGCTCGTCGGGACATGGACTACCGCTGAACGAGACAAGTTTAAGGTTCTTGAGGACCTGTAGACCTTCAGTAGTCTCAGCGAGGAGTTTCAATGCTAGAGGAACGCCAAATAGTGCCTCCACGTCCGGAGCTTGCTTGAGAAGCTTGATAACGTTGGTAGACGTCAATGACATTGATCCAGTTGGGAAGAGGTACAGCGGTTTTGCAGCACAGATTGCACGATAAAGATTGCCGTGGCCGTACGCCTGTTCAAGGCAAAATAAGTGAATTCTGGTAAGAAATACGCACAACATACACGATACAATGGCACAGTCGTTAAACTTGCAAGACCAAAATTTATGAGGAATTTCCCGATGGCCACTTTGTTGGTTGCAATGGTTGGCTTTGGGAAACCAGTGGACCCGCTCGTGTGGATGACCGTGACTGGAAGAAGAGATTCATCCTCCCACTTTAATGCAGGGTCCCATCGCGTCTTCTCTGGGTGCAAAGAACGAGCGGCTGAGCCGAAGACGTCAGATGAAGGCTGGTTGATGATCGTCACAGAACTGGGGTTGCTGAGATGTGTAAGAGCTGCTGCCGCGGGAGGTAACAGCGCGTCTTGCACTATCACGTGGGTTGCATCTGTCACAGTCAACAGGTGAGCAATTGCGGAAGGAGAGTTATTCGGCGGTAAGAAAAGCACGCCTGTAGAAAGATTGGCAATGTCAGAGTAAGACTTACGTATGTTGTGCACTAACAATATCCCATCCGATAAAGTGCCATCTCGGTGACTACATAGTAACTGATATTGCTAATGCCCAGAAGTCCAACTGTCCGAGCCGCTGACGATAATGCCAGTTTTGTGTGTCTCGGCCCGAGAATAACTTACTAGGTGCAGTACAACGGTTCCCCTGGTAGCATGCGAGTTGGAAAGGGGACTCAAAGGTAGCGTGCCGCAACTGAACAGAGTAAGACTAGTAGCCGCCAAAAGATAGAGGGATGGTGTAATAACACATACGGCGTAACGCGTAACCATTCGTGTTTACATAATATGTATCAATTGCATTTACTGTTTATGTCGAAACTGCTTTTACTTCACTTGCTCTCGACTCGCAATGTTAACCTTATTCAATCGATAATCTTCACGTGCTCGTCCTCAAGGCAGGAATTATCTTTTGTGAAGATGAGTCAAATTTACGCTCTTTGCTCGCTTCCCTCATCACGATGTTGGGGTGGTCTGATGGCGAGCAGCAACTTCAATCTCAGACCGGGGAGGGTAGCAACTCTCAGCAAATTCTCTACATCGACAATGCTGTGGACCCACTATTCGGATTCCATCATCCTCAACATGATGAGACTGTTGATCACTCGTTTATGTCGCGGTCTGCGAGCCAGCCGACTCACAATGATGTGGACCCGATATCTGGATTCCATCATCCTCAACACGATGAGACTTTTGATCGTTTTATGTCACAGTTTGCGAGCCAGCAACCTAGTCTCGATCATCGCGATGTAGTCGCAGGTTCACTGGTAAGTTGATCATCATGCGGTTGTTCTAAGTCTAACTTGTCTGTACTAGCAGGATGACGGCCATCACGGGCCACACACCCTAGTCCATCCCAAACCGCGTTATGCCATTCCTCTAGAATTTTATGCTGCCTGGCCGACGTCCCCTCCACATCTTTCTCACCCGCTTGCCGCGCATGCGGAGAGCTCTTCCATGCACCAACCCGAAAGCCAGGAAGACCCTGCGCCCGTTTCGAGTCACCAGACCACGTTAATCGGGCCACCAATATTGGATGGAGCCTTGTTCGACAAGTCCACATCTTCGAGTCAGTTGGATGTTGCCGTCGAATCCTCTCATTTCGACGAAGTCAGTCGGCACAAGACAATCTCCCACAGCCGTAGCAAACCTAACAAGGCTCGCCGAATCCTCAAGAACGCTAAACGTGTCGGTATGGAGCGATCTGAGTTTTACAGAAAAGTTGAAGCTGGTGCATCCTCCACCACTGCCGAAGGCTCGTCCGGGACGTCTTCCAAATCAGATGTGAAGATTGTCCCCGGATCCGGCATCAGAAAGTTGTTGGAGATTCTTCGAGTAGGAATGAGACTCTACATCTTCAGGGTGTCAATCTTACCCGCCACCGGTACACTTTCGAACGTAATAGATGCTGCGTGGAAAGATGTGGCCGACAATCAACTCAGCGGTAAGTATTTTCTGGAGTTCTGATCGGTAGAGACTGATGGGGAACAGGAGCTGACCAGGCCTGGGCTCGGCACATGCTGACTGACAAGAAGTACGTCGACGAGAGGATGGGCTCTGTGATCGATGAAGTATCTCGGGAGATGACGGCGGCAGCAAGATTATTCACCTATCACTACTACAAAATCGACTTTGACGACCTGACCATGGTAGTGGAGAAGTTGGCCATCAACACGCGCGTCAAACAAATTCAAGGTCTAGTAGCAAACGACGTATTCATCTATGGACAACTATCTGTAAGTTCAACACGAGTTCGGCCCAGATATCTCGCTGATAGTATGTCCCATAAGGTCAATGGAGTTGACTTCGGCACCGTCGCGTTCGCAAGTGAAACCATCATTCGGATGATCCGATACTTATTACGCGACGGCCCACACCAGTACCACAGATATATTTCACAAGCCAATTATGGACCATTACTCGCAATGACCGCTACGGTCTGCCGGTGGGCGTTGCAAGAACATGAGACGGGTAGCTTTGTCGAAAGCCAGTTTTTGCCAGAAGAAAATACGCAATATTATTCTCGCTATCATGCTATCTTCAAAGGTTTGGATGCTAAAGCGGTTGCTGCTCTTATCGTACAGATAACTAGTAATTTCGCATCGACTTGCTAAATTCGCTTGTCATGTCCTTGACTCAGAATCATAGCTCGGACCATCTTATCTCGGAGCTGTCAACTTTTACATTCAATACGTTGTACTTGTGTCTCGTTGTACGAATTCTTTAGGTTACGGTGCTAGGCGGAAGCCTTCAGGGACTCGTCGGGCCCAAGCATCCCTGAAAGGGCCACCCTCCGGCACACAAAAGTTCGGCTCCCACTTCCAAATCGCTACTATGGAGTATATCTAAACATGGAAATCAAGCTATCGACAACGCCATGGCCAGACTAAAACATTTTAGGCAATCATGTGAGACTCTCATTTGGTGAGTTTGCAAATTCAATTGTAATTGGCCCGACTAAAGTAATATAAAGGTCGGGTGGGCAAGTAAGTCTATATTGTGCCCAGGTCATTCAAGCGCACTATGTCTCCCGCCGGTCGTACTCGTCGCAGTTGTACTCAGAAGATTGTTTTACAGAACACTGCTGTCGACTCGGATTCTATTCCGTCTACTCGCCGGCGCTGCTCGGCTCTCGTCTTCAGACTACTACATATCTCCTCGGTGCACGTCAAGAACTTCCCGATGTTGATGCGGAAGAGATCAATCGTATTCGTGCTGTTCAGCCATGGTATTCGCAGGCCGAGTCAGAGCCATCGGAAGGACAACTCACAGACCAGGAAAAAGTTCCCGTACACACTGACCATTTCCCTCTCGAGAAAGGTAATTCTTACGGTCGTTCTTAGGTGACTTATTCGAGATGCTCATATCCGACGTCTTAGTTGAATTTAGGATTCCTTTGAACACTGCGGATAGGAACAAATCTACAACATACGTGGACCATTTTTACGCCGAATCGGACCTGAGTCCCATGGATATATTCGACTCGATGAGGGCGGTGATGGGTCTTCCAAAGACCTATGAGCACTTAGGGTGGCGCCTGTCTACAGCTCGCCGGATGGACCCGCCTCATCGACTTTTAACGGCTCAAGATCTCAACAGCGCCTTCAAAACCGCAAGGGCAGAGCAGTTGTCTGGACGGAAACAGAAGAGAATTGCAATTGAAATCATAAACACTGTACGTGCTTTGTTATTTGTAAGTTCCCTGCATGATGTGACAGTACCTTACCGCGGCAGATGCCTGTGTTGAAAGAGAAGCCAACCAACTTGCCCATAGAGCATGTATCGCCCTTTAATCGTACACTTTCCGAACAAAAAGGTGACGGCCCTTTGATGGCCCCTCAACCACTCAAGAGGACGTTTGCGATGTATATGGAGAGTGACGATGACGAAGAAACTGATGACGAGCCGCCACAAGGCATCGATGATATCCTTACAAGCATCCATTCTCGTTTTCCTGCGATGAACTTGCCGCAATATTCGAAGATGCTGAAGGAGCAAGGCATATTTTACCTGCCCACCGCAACACACTTTAGTGGTAGGTTTTATATGGAAAAAGTTGGCATGTCGGAGGGCGCAGCATTTACGTTTCACACTGGTGTCTGTAATGCGCATATGAAGTACGTGCGTGCGAAGGCGAGCAGAAAGGCCAAAAGGAAAGTACAATCTGACAGCAAAGATAAGGAAAATATTCAAGCTCTCGAGCAAGGTGCGTCGTTTTCTTCCTCGTGTATTCACTCGCTGATACTTTACTACAGTATAGTAGTAACAATGATACTCAGCCAGTGCATGCGTCGCCGTCTGTCACACTCGGAGCCTCTCTTGCACGCGCTCTCGACGCCTCTTCAAGTCGTAGCATAATACACATAGTCACTTCTAAATTTGCCGTACATTTAATACCTACTTCGACGAATTCAAGCCTGAATGATTTCTCCATGACGACGGGTTCCTCACAAGCTGGGGCTGCTCAGTTTGGGACGATAATCTTAACACTTCGCGTGAAACCCTGCAATAAAAAAAATCCTCAAGGTTATCTGCAACAATATCGTCAAGAAATTATGTACAAGCTTCAGCCGGGTTGCAAGCAACTATCAAAGATGCTCGTGGAAAGAACAGAGGGCCTCGAGCGATCGAGCCCAGTATTTGAAACGTGCACGCCTTCTAGCGAAGAAGACATGATGAAGGAAAGGGTATTCGGTCAAGCAAACAAGCTTACTTGCTTTCGCCTTCGGAAGATGCGAAGTCTCAGTGTCTCGTAAGCTTAATTGGAGTCATCCCGCAGAATTCGCATAGTTGCTGCTGCGGCCGGGTTTAAGCTGATTGACCCTCGGAGTAGTTATCAATTTCACTCTCATTCACATGTTTCGCCCTCATTGTTATGGCGCTGTCTTGCACTTTTCATGGTATCGTTGGTACAGTACGCGCACGGGTACAGGTACGAGTCCATCGGGAATGGAAAGAATGAGGGAGCAAGAGCTGATGCGAGAATCGGAGTGACGGCGTCCACCATGAGTAATAGAACAGACTGGACAGATCCACATCAATTGAGGTTGTTATATTATAATGATGGGCGATGTTTGAAATGAGTGTAGGTTAATAAAAACAAGTTTGAGACGAGTAGGGATTGCCTAATGAGCGCGCTTCAGACTCTCATAATGCGGCTGAGTTTGAATGCTTACTATATGCTCGATGAGCTTTGAGAGAAAGGAACGCACAAGCGCGAGTGAGATCAGTCGCCAAGATCCTTGTGCGTTGACTATAAAACATAATTGATGTGTTAGACTACATAGGCACACAATGAAGAAATGCTCGATGTTCGAACCTATATTATATTTGAGATTGGCGTTTTGAGACTAAGCCTGGGCTAAGGAAAAATGAGAGAAAAAGACGGATAGGGATAAGCAGTCAAAACCTTCGAGTCACGGTGAGATAGCACTAAGTGAGGTTTCCGGAAAAATACGACACTTCCCGAAAGCTACCAAAACAAAAGGGCATGCGATGGGCAGGTAAGAGAAAAGGGTGCAAGCAAACGCGACAGAGGGAAGACGACAAGAAGACGCGTGTAGTAGGACGTGTTTGCTCGCTTAGTGAAGCCATGAGCTATGACTGTCACGTGGAAAATCATGTAATCACATAATTTGAACATGTTCAAGTTGCGGAGCAACCAAACGAGTCCTTTCGAGTTCCAAGTCCGTCTTAACCACTACAGCAAATACACAAATGGCCGTACGTCGAGTTTTCTATCATCTCCTCACAAGCTGATTGCCCCCAAGGACCTCATCGTTCCGATGGATTTCGTCCCCACTGCCCAGCAACACGAGTCGTATGAGCAGTTCGACTTGGCACGCTATCTGCATTCCAAGTGGTATATTCCGAGAAAGCTACTTACATTGCTATAGGTTCAACATCATATCTCTTGAACTGAGACTTTCATCTCGCAGCTATTGGCGCAACAACTTAAACGGGTAAGTAAGATACATCCTCAGCCTTTGCATACCTCAGCGCTGACTCTTCACTCCATGCCATCATCACCTTTGACTCTTAAAACACAGAAATCTTGTCGTTTAGCTGCACTGTTGACTAATGTTAGCCATAGAAGTGCCGCTGTCCAAGCGCGAGTCTCTCTAGCGTTGGACGCCGAAACTCAAAGGATGGAGATCGTGCTGAATTTCATTCGGATAGCAGCAATCATAACATCTTGTGATATCTCAATCTTGACCTCCCTTGTCCATACCTGCGGCCACCTCGTCCTGTATCTTCATCTATTTGTCAAACTATTGCCCTTCATCGTCCCCATCTGCCTATGACGTCGAAATGCCCTGTTGTATGAAAACGAATACCCTTCTCCATCCTCAATTATCGAATCTCCTCCATTAGTTGCACCTGTTCCTGCTCTTCACCCAGCATCTCTTAGTTGGCAACTCTTCTGTGTTCCTATTATTAAGGATAATCTATTGCAGTTCATATCTGAAGGCCCGTCGCAGTGCTTTTTGAGCCGATCAAATTGTTTATACAACGGCAATGTTGCAAGGTGGTGGTAAGCCCGCCGCAACCCTGATCGTTTTCCACAGTCATGGGTCATATGGCCTTGCAAAGGTAAGTGCAATATGTTCAGTTATAGTTCTAATCACACAGTCACGTCCGAGGCTGTCCGAATATGGTCATGAAGGCTTGAAGGTATGGTGCAGTGATACCGAACTGGGATCATAAAGACGTTTGCATGTGAGAGTTGTGGCTCAACTTGAAGCTTCCTAAGGTTTTTTCCGTTGAATTCCAGGGCAATCGATGAATTGCTACCTTTAGTAATAGTAGTTCATTAATCAGAACTTGGGTAATCGTTTAGAAGTCCGCTTTGGCTCTCACACTTGAAACCAGACGACTCGGACCTCTTGATTCACTGTGGCAAGCCATCCCCATCATATCATGTCCTCCTCACCTAACATCCCCACTACTTCTTCCAAACCTGACTCTTGTCCTGACCAGTTCGTACAGGACAGCGCTCATCATGTCAAGCGCAACTGTGATAATCGGAGCATAGGACCCAAATCCAAATCCAAATCTCCCATATATGATGCATCACAGCTTGAGGGCCTTCCCCCCATAGTACAGCATATGTCGTGTTATGCGAAGCGTGCAAGCTCAAGATTCAAGCCCTATCGGCTTGGCAGGCATGTTCCTAACGCACTAGAGCACCGTTTCATGGCGAAAAGTGTCATGAAACATCCAGATGGTGTTATCAGCTTGGCAGATGTCCAGCAGGTATGTTAACTTTATTTATACCACAGATCCTGACATATTGACGAGCATTATATCAGGGAAAAGATATCTTGAGAAGAGGCCTGCAGCATATGTCAGACGCGGCCCTGCGGTCAGCTGTCATCGCAAAGCGAGCTGATGCAGAAAGCAAGCGCTTACACGCTCTTGCAACAGCTTGGGACCTCGAATCAACCGAAAGACATGCAATACTTCTCCAAATGATTCTCCACGACAATGCGGAAGACTATCTTCACAGCCTGGAAGATGCTCATCTCTTCGAATCGATCATGGTCAAACGTACCCGCCAGCAACTTGAAGATGACGCGGATTTCACAGTCGCTGCATATAGTCATGATGTTGTGGCACACAGTATAACGGACAACCAACTTGATCAACTGGAGGGCATCAGTGCTGAGCGGAATGTTCCCTTAGAGGACC